AATAATAATAATAATAATAATTATTATTATTATTATTATTTATTTATACCCTGCCCATCTGGCTGAGTTTCCCCAGCCACGCTGGGCGGCTCCCAATCAGTGTTAAAAACAGTACAGCGTTACATATTAAAAACTTCCCTGAACAAGGACTTGCAATGCTCCTATACAAGCCTGATGCCCAGAATTGTCTAAGGGACAGGATAGCCTCAATGGACCTATTTGAGACTAGAGGAAAATTCTGTTTGGGTATAAGTTTTTCCCCAAGTGTGCCTCAAACTCATTTCCCATATGGCAATTGTCTACATGACTATCGCCTCCATGTAGGAGGTCAGCATGTAGAGGACACTTGTTCACTTGTTCACCACCATGATTCATAACAAATGCTCGCATGTCTATCCCACCTTTGACAAATTCTCTCAGCTCTGTGAGAACTGCTTTGCCATAGGTTCACCCCAAAGCACTGCTACAATGTTTCATGACCCACAACCACACAGGGAAAGCCATTCACACAGGCCTTTCCCTTGGAATCAACATCCTTCATCCCATCAGAGTGCTGAGTCAATGGGGAAAGCGCATATGAACAGTGTTGTTTTCATGGTTGCAAGCCTTTACTCATAGGATGAACACATGTTAGAGCAGCTCCCCCATTACGGCTACTGTGTTTAACGAGTTTAACACAGTGTATGTGCTATGTGTAGACACACTGAGATACTGTGGGAAGTCATGAGGAAATGTTATTTGTTTGCTTGTTCCATATATGTCCCACCATTCATCAATTCCACTGATCCCAGGGCATGCTACATCTTTGCACACTCTATAATGATGCAATGCATCATTTTATATAAATAAAACATCACTATCCACTTTACCACAGACGTGGGTGGCACTGTGGGTTAAACTACAGAGCCTAGGACTTGCCTATCAGAAGGTCAGTGGTTCAAATCCCCGTGAAGGGGTGAGCTCCAGTTGCTCGGTCCCTGCTCTTGCCAACCTAGCAGTTCGAAAGCACGTCAAAGTGCAAGTAGATAAATAGGTACCATTCTGGCGGGAAGGTAAACAGCATTTCCATGCGCTACTCTGGTTTGCCACATGACCCGGAAGCTGTACGCCGGCTCCCTCGGCCAATAAAGCGAGATGAGTACCGCAACCCCAGAGTCGGTTACAACTGGACCTAATGGTCAGGTCCTATTCACTTTACCGCTTTGGCTCTTCAGAGCCTATTGACTTCCTTCCCTCCCACCTCATGGCTTTCAAAATTAACCTTTATATCATTACATTTTGTACATTTCCCAATTCTAATTACACTCATTACAAAATAGCTCATTTTAAAAAATAATAATAATAGAAAGATAGAAAATTTCTCATTACAAATCTTCAGACAACCCTGATAGTGATGTTAATTGCTTACAATAATCTGGGTGAATCATTGTATTTTAATATTCTGTTGGAAGCCGCCCAGAGTGGCTGGGGAAACCCAGCCATATGGGCAGGGTATTAATTATTATTATTATTATTATTATTATTATTATTATTATTATTATTATTACAAATATTGTATAAATTTACTCCAGTCCTTTTGGATTACTTGATCATGCTGGTTTCGGATTTTTCCTGCCAGCTTTGCCAGTTCTGCAAAGTCCATCATCTTCATCTGCCACTCTTCTTTCGTTGGTAGTTCTTGTTGTTTCCATTTTGGGGCTAAAAGAATTCTTGCCGCAGTTGTTGCATACATAAACAGTCTTTTATCTTCCCTTGCTACCTCTTCACCCACTATACCCAGTAAAAAGGCTTCTGTTTTTTTAACAAAAGTATTTTTAATCATTTTTTTTAACTCATTATATACCATTTCCCCAGAAAGCCTTTACCTCTTTACAAGTCCACACCCCATGTGGTAGAAGATACCTTCCCTTTCCTTACATTTCCAGCACTCATTAGTTCTTGTTACAAGTACAGTGGTACCTCAGGTTACATACGCTTCAGGTTACATACGCTTCAGGTTACAGACTCTGCTAACCCAGAAATAGTACCTCGGGTTAAGAACTTTGCTTCAGGATGAGAACAGAAATCGTGCCCCGGTGGCGCGGCAGCAGCAGAAGGCCCCATTAGCTAAAGTGGTGCTTCAGGTTAAGAACAGTTTCAGGTTAAGAACGGACCTCCGGAACGAATTAAGTACTTAACCCGAGGTACCACTGTAATATTAATGATGCAGGAGTAGGATTGCTCTAGACCAGCCTTTCTCAACCTGTGAGTCACCAGATGTTGTTGAACTACAACTCCCATCACCCCTAACTAGCAAGGCCAGAGCTCAGGGATGATGGGAGTTGTAGTCCAACAACATCTGGGGACTCTAGACTATCAATAGTGACTGGTTTTAGGCTTCACTGAGAAACAATAATGGTGCTTGCCTCGTTTCAGGAAGGAGGGAATTCCACAACCAAGGTGCTACCACTGAGAAAGCTCTCTTTCGTGCCACCATGCCATGGGCCTCTCCGGGTGGTGGAACCACTAGGCGGGACTCTTCTACAAATATTAATGAATAGGCAGGCTGATATTGAACAACAGGTTGACACATGAGCAGTTGTCACATCTGTGACAGTGCACATGGTCAGCACACTAATCCACACCGGAAATTGTTGTGTGTGAAGTGCTGCTTAAGTCATTTACAGATAGTTTGGCTGGCAGTGCAAAATTATGGAATGTTTACTCTGGCCCCCAGATCAACCTTGTTTCTTACATCACCATTGTGGTGCATAGGCCTGTCATCTCTGTGGTCCTACCCCATGGATTCTAGTAATGTTTGGATGGAGGTAGGGATGTTGGAGAATTCTGAGGAAAACGGGAATGGAAGCAGAAATTGCCGGTGTTTGTTTATTTGTCCCATGTCTGGAAGAGCCACAAACATTTTCCTTTTGGGATTCAGGTCCGATTACTGGAGCAGCACAATCTGATGCTGAAAACTAAGTGGGATTTTGTGCAACAAAAGAAACGTTGCAAGAGTAACATGGAGCCCCTCTTTAATGAACACGTCGGTCAACTCAAGAAGGAGCTGGAGTGTCTTAAGCATGAGAGAGAGAAGCTACAGGCTGAGCGCAACACTTTGGAGCACACTGTGGAGGGCTATAAAGCGAGGTGAGCTCTAAAGATGTCTCTAAAGATTTCAAATTCCATGTTATATAGAGCACCTATAAAGAAATAAGAAGGGTGTGTGTGTGTGTACACACAAACACAAACACTGAGAGACATGGAAAAAAACATTGTGGGGGAGAATTCAGATTTACTGCATAATGTAAAAATCACAACATGCACATGGAGTTATACCTACCTGAGGTCACAAGAAAGAATAGTCTAGTACTTTCCTCATATTTCTGTAAGCCTCACAAGAATCCTCCAACTTTCTCCCTCATCATATTACCCTTCCCCAAAATGATCTCCTTCAGATGTTAGAATCCAACTTCCATCAATTCCAGACAACATGGCCAGTGGTCAAGGTTGATGACAATTGTTACCCCAAAATATCTGGAGTTTGCAGAAGACTGCCATGAAGTGTTGTGTGGTTATAGATAGATTATATCCTTTTAAAAGGGACACGGGTGGCGCTGTGGGTTAAACCACAGAGCCTAAGACTTGCTGATCAGAAGGTCGGCGGTTCGAATCCCCACGATGGGGTGAGCTTCCGTTGCTTAGTCCCTGCTCCTGCCAACCTAGCAGTTCGAAAGCATGTCAAAGTGCAAGTAGATAAATAGGTACCGCTCTGTCGGGAAGGTAAACGGCATTTCCGTGCGCTGCTCTGGTTCACCAGAAGTAGCTTAGTCATGCTGGCCACATGACCCAGAAGCTGTACGCCGGCCCCCTTGGCCAAGAAAGCGAGATAAGCTCTGCAACCCCAGTCGGCCACGACTGGGCCTAATGGTCAGGGGTCCCTTTACCTTTATCCTTTTAAAAGCTTCTGTGTGGATTTTATAACTTCCCCTAAAAATGTCTTTCCAATATCTAATTCTTTATGAATTACTATTTTCTTTGGTGTTTTGTTTTAATGGTTAAAATAATTAAAAAATATTTTCCCTTATTGTATTAGGTACGAGGAGGAATGCAACAGGCGAACGTCTACAGAGAATGAATTTGTGCTACTGAAAAAGGTTATGCACAGCAACATTTTTGTCAGAAGTTGCAATTTTTATCTTACTACCTATGTAATCACTTTATATAAAAACTCTGAAATGTATTTATATAATCTCTGTGTTTGCGTGTCGAGGTCCCCAAGCCACCCCCCAAATAACTCACAACGCACACTTAATTTTTGTTTAAGGTTTTTGGCATTATTTTGGCCACAACTTTATTTAAATACAAAACCGTGAGTGGTTGTTTAGGCATTGGTTAAGACTATCTGTCCCCCCGCCTGGGGACAGAACTGACTTCCGGGCACCACCGAAAGACAGTGCGGGGGAAAGCAAGTCGGGGAGAAATGGAGCTGAGTCACAGACCCTCAATTCTCACCCGCATGATCCCCGAAGGCTTGCCGGCCCTAGTCCCATTCCAGGGATTGGACGAAAAGATGGCAAGCCCCAGGATTCCTTTAACGGAATTCCCTTTCCGCAGCAACCATGGAGGGGCAGGCCCAGCCTATCCTAACCCCTCCTCCACCAATTTATAACCAATGCCTAACCGCAACCTTACAAGTTGTGACGATTTGCTACGCAGTAGGCAAAAACCAAATGGCCCAGCCAATCAGCCAGATGGACAAAATTCCTACCAGGCCCCTGCCCCAACGGCAGACGACCCCATGACAGGCATAGCAAGGTCAATGCAACAACCCCTTACTCAAGGGTGGGTGGGCGGGTGATCCGTTGCACGCAACAAAGAGAAAGCTCCAGGCTGCATGCAGAGTATTTAAACATTTTACCCCTCCCACCAAAATTGCAACATAACTTTTACCCCAGCAACCCAGTGAACCAATCACTGCCCCAGGCCATCTTTAGAGACCATGCCTGGTAACAGAGGGGTGGCTCAGCAGACCCCACCACAACACGTGCTCTCCATGAAGGAGAAGACGCTTTGCCCTGAATTATTGAGGGTGATCTGGGTCATGATTATTTCACTTTTCCGATTGCGCCATTAAGAAGGCTTCTCAAGGCACACTAGGAATTCCCTAAGTTTCCAAGTGGCCATTGCTATTGAAAACAAAATGCACAGCCATTCCCCTCAGGGGGAAAAGCCAAGCTAACTAGGAAAATCCCCAGAGTTCATAACAGAAGGGGTGGATGTTTTGCTGGGGGGGACGGGGACTTCTTTGTCACAGACAGGTCGAGCTTATAAAAACAGAGAAATATTTTCCGAGAGCACTCCAATTAAAAAATGCTTGAATCTAGTTCAAGGGAGAGATCTCCATGGAAATATGTGGGTGAGGGCAGAAGCTAACCCACACCAATGACTCTTGGGTTCCTTGGGGACCAATCACCACTTTTGCCTTTTGAGCTTCATGCCTCATCCCATTCCTTGTCCCAGGTGGTAAAATGTGGTACAAATCGCTGTGGTTTCCTTTCTTTTGCAGGATTTGGACTGTGTCTATTCACACAAGGCAGAACTGGAAGCCAAGGCAGAAAGTCATATGAAACAAATCAGCTTCTTGAAATGTGCATATAAACAGGTGATAAGGTTTTCTGCTATTGTGGTGAAGTATTCTCACTCAGTTCTCTTAAAGAAAGGTCTAAAACAGTAAAACACAAAGTTCTCTTGGCTCCCAGGATGTAACCAAGATCTTTGCTCTTGGAAGCAAAGGACATGATGGTAGCCCGTTCACCCATTCCAGAAGCTGATTGGACTGGCAGGCCACATTGGCAGGGATAGATTTAAAGCACTACAGTGGTACCTCGGGATGTGAATGGGATCTGTTCCAGAGCCCCATTCGCATCCTGAACATAACATAAGATGCAACTGTTAGGAAATCAAGCCTTTATCAGGAGAAACTGGCCACTCTCTAGGCACCCGGCTTGATCTCCTGGTGACCTCCCCGTCTGCATTCCCGAGCAGGATACAGGCTAGGTCGCGATCGGCGATCCTCCTCAACGTGAGAACACACCACTCTTCCCTGCCCCCCCAGACAGGGGAAAGAGATAGACAGAAATGTATTTACATGCCTTTATTTCTGTCTTTGCAGCATTACAGAAAAACACGTCTGCTCTCTTCAAACTCCAACAGCAGAGAGACACAAACTCCACCTCCTGTACTTCCTGTACAGCTCATATTACACTCTGAGCTAAATCCGGTGCTTTGCACTGTGAATAGACTGTCCCTCTGTTTCCCACAGAACAGTCCCAACATTCCCATTATGTTTTGTTTTCAAGCTAGCAGCTGCTCGCGGCCGCATTGCTTCTATATCGTAACAGCAACAGCGCATCTGCGCGGGTGCGGGATCGCGTTTTGCTGCTTCTGTGCATGCGTGTGATGTCATTTTGACCGTCTGCGCATGCGCGAGTGGCAAAACCTGGACGTAATGCACTGTGCTATTTCCGGGTCGTCGCAGAGCGCAACCCAAACGTGCTCAACCTGAAGCGTATTTATCCCGAGGTATGACTGTATTAAATAAAGCACTATTTCCAGAACTTTAAAGGAAGGCCTAACATATTACAGAAGCTGTCTAGGCCTTTGTGTTGTTTACCTACCTACTAAATCTAATTTTGTTTGTTAGATTAATGCCAGTGTGATTTGTTAAAACCCAGGTTTGGTCAAAAGTTTCTAAACATGAAGTTACTTCAGCACTTGTCTCAATTCCTGGTTACACATACATAACTGAGACTTCACATACTATGTCACTGCAGGAAATTTGTGAGCTCCAAAACTGCATTTCCGACACTTGTGTTATGGTGCAAATGGACAATAGCCGAGGCCTAGATATGGACCACGCGATTGAGGAGTTCCGGCGTCGATATGAAGCAATTGCTTCCAGAAGCCGAGCTGAGGCTGAGGCTTGGTTCCAGTGCAGGGTAAGGAATTGGGTAGATTTCGCCCCAGGGATCCTTTCTCCTACATCAGTGGTGGGGAACCTGGAGCCCTTCAGATGTTGTTAGATTCCAGCTTCCATCAGCCCCAGCCAGCATGGCCAACTGTCAGGGGTGATGGGAACGATAGCCCTGCAACACCAGGAGAGCCACAGGTTCCTCAGCCCTGTCCTTGGGGAAACATGGCCCAATTCTTGCCTGCTCCACTTCTTAACCAGCTATTTTGTTTTTCATGGTAGTATGATGAGCTCAGGACAGCAGCAGCGAAACGTTGTGACGATCTGCATAATGTCAAGGAAGAACTTCAGGCTCTGACCCGTGTTGCTCACAGGATGGAGTCAGAAATTGCAAGCGTCAAGGCTCAGGTGAGTTTAATGCAGGGATGGTGAATTTGTGGTCATCCAGGTGTGTTGAACTACAGCCCCCATCATCATCCCTGACCATTGGCCACGTTGAATGGTGCTGATGAGAGTTGGAGCCCAGGAAGAAGTGGAATGTGACAGGCTCCCCTCCTCTGGTCCATTGGTTTGTCCATTCAATAGACAACTTCGGGCAGCAAACCTGAATATCATGTGCCACATAGAGGGGCATTTCTTAGGAAGCCCCTCACAAATTTTGAAAACAGCCTAAGGGCAGATACAGATGTTCCCCACAAAGATGTGTAAGCTGTTTCCCTGTGATCCCTTCCCATTTCATCCCGATAACCTCTGGTTCCAGGAAACTTTGGGGTTGGATCCACTTATTTTTATTTGTTGCTTTCTTAAAAGCATTTCCTAAACCATTTAACATGTTGCAAAATCTCAAAGTGGTGCACACTATGTACAATATAGAACAACACCCATGGGGGGGGGAATACAGCCAAAAACAGTATTAAAAAGATAGAAAAGGAATTAATAAGCAAATGCCACCATCTCTCACAGATGGCATTTCATTGACTCGCTTTGGGAACAAGAGCAGGGCAGGGAGTTGCGAACTCTTTTCCTCTGTTTTCCTGATGTAAATTTCACAGTACCAAAAAAGTGCCATGTGCCTTGCTAGAGGAGGCAGACATATATGTTACTTAAGGGATCATCTTACTTCATACGTTCTGACTTGATCACTTCAATCTGCAGAATTTGCACTTCTACGAGTGCCACACAATGTCTGTTTGCGTTTCTGAGGAAGCGTACTTTGCAATTCCCTGACTGTTCACAATAGGCAGGCACCATCACTGCATTCTTTTAGATACCTGCTGAAAACATTTCTGCTTCGGCAGACCTCTCCAAACACACAGTTTGCTTATAATGTTTTATCAAGCATTTTTAATAGATGTTTTGAACAGTTTTGAAATGTATTTTAAATGCGTTTTATTTTATTCGTGGTTGTATTTTTTTAAAAAACTGAAGATATGTCTGCTTCCCTGAGCTTCTTTGGGAAGAAGGGTGCATAATGAGGAGGAGGAGGAGGAGGCGGAGGAGGAGGATGTTTCCCCAAAGTGTGTAAATTTAGATGAGGAAAATGACACTGGGAAAGGATTACCCTCTTTCCTCCCAGGGCAACTTTCCAATTCAGCTCATATTTATTTATTTTATTAAATTAATACCCCTCTGTTCAAATATATCACCAGGGGAGCTTACAATAATAATAGCAGTACATTGGACCAATAATAACAGTACATTGGAATCAGATACAAAGCACAAATCTCTTTACTCTGTGTATCCACACAACTGCTTTTAAGTAGTAGTGAAGATGGCAGGAGATCTGATAAAATGCAGTATACTGGCCCTGATTTGGAAGTTTCAGAAATAATAGCACAGTGGAGCACTGCAGGATATCACAGCTTGCCAATGGCTCTCTTCATATGGAACAAAGGTTGGCTTGGGTCAAACTTCCAAGCACACTGAGGAAGGTACATAGGGAAATGTCCTGTGCATTCTGCATTGACAGCGTCGCAAATTGGAAGAGGAGGTGTCTGGAGCTGAGGAACGCGGGGAGATTGCGGTGAAGGATGCCAAATGCAAACTGGCAGATCTGGAGGAGGCCCTGCACAAGGCCAAGCAGGACATGGCTTGCCAGCTACGGGAGTATCATGAACTGATGAACATTAAGCTGGCTTTGGATATTGAGATTGCCACATACAGGAAGCTTCTGGAAGGAGAGGAAAGTTGGTGAGTGTAATTTAACCTTGTTAAAAACATTCTGTGGGAAGAATTCCAAGCAATATGTCTTTTCCCAGTATGTTTCCAAAAAGGGCACTGGCTCCTGGTAGGCAGATATATTTTTAGGGGGCTGGGCCCCCTCACTGTTCAGAGGGCCCCTGCATGATGTCAGGAGATTGTATCTGTTTTCCTCAATCCTCTGGAGAAGTTGGCGCCTCTGCTTTCCAAACAATGTTTGCTTTACCCCCTATGTTCAGATTAGAAATGAAGTTATTTGCACAAAATTCAACATGTGGCAGATTTCCAAGTCTGAAATAAATGGGTTCAGGCATTTGAATTTTGAAATATCAAAATGAAAAGTTTCATTATGGAAATGAAAGTTAGGTGCTCCAATATGAGGGCTGCTTGTTCTCTTACCAAAGCAGACTCCCACTCCAGAATTCATCTAAGATTTCAGGCTTTGAAATTGGACATTGAAATATAAAATAGTTCCATTTTGAATGCTGCATCTTGACAAAATCTAGAGATAATATTTGAAAGGGGGAGGGATGCATTTATAACAAGTATTTCACTTCTAGTTTGACTTTTAGATCTTCAACGTTTTTTTTTTTTTTTTTCCTGGTACACATTATCCTTTCATATACTCGGAAACAGAACAGATTTTTTAAAGCACTTTTAATACTTTAAACGGAGCTGCAAAGGCTAATTCACATGTCGTCCACTCACTTATTGACTATAGTTATCAAGAAGTGGCTTGCATCTGTAAAACAGCCACCACAGGTAGGATATCTGAACAAACTCATTGGGGGTGCCAACTTGAATAAAATATTGGGGCCCCAGATGCACAGACACCATTTGAATGTCCATCAACTTTGGGGAGGCCTGCCCCCCTCAAATATTTTATTGGTGGGGCCAAAGTGACCTCGGCCCCTAGGAGTTGGCTCCCGTGAGGCCCATTATCAGCACCCAGCCTGATAGGGGAAATGCTGTGGTCCTGGCTGCTCACTGGCTGCAGCCTCACTCAACGATATGCTGAACAGTACCAGGCTGAGGAAATTAAGGAAATCAGCCCTGAGTGCTCACTGGAAGGACAGATCGTGAAGCTGAGGCTCCAATACTTTGGCCACCTCATGAGAAGAGAAGACTCCCTGGAAAAGACCATGATGTTGGGAAAGATGGAGGGCACAAGGAGAAGGGGATGACAGAGGACGAGATGGTTGGATAGTGTTCTCAAAGCTACCAGCATGAGTTTGACTAAACTGCGGGAGGCAGTGGAAGACAGGAGTGCCTGGCGTGCTCTGGGCCATGGGGTCACGAAGAGTCGGACACGACTAAACAACTAAACAACAACAACAACCAGACTGAGCACAGCCTGTCTCCTTAGTAATATGGTTTTTTAAGGGATTACGGACAAAGGGCCCATCAGGGTGTCATCAGGGTGGTCTGGAGGGTGCCTTTCTCAGGGTTCCACTCATACATGGCACCAGCCTTGCTTCTGCTTGATGGTTTTCAATAGATGCATTTCAGTCATTTGACTGTGAGTCATCAAGTGACAATGACCGCTAACAAATCAGTGAGCCCTAAGTGGCACCTCAAGCCAGCTGTTGAGCATAGACAGAGATCTGAAATGGTTCTTCTTCTTTTTTCATTTCTCACTAGGTTGAATGAAGGGGAGTGTGCTGTGAACATCTGTAAGTAGCTTATAAACTGAGATAACTATATGACAAGTTCTATGAGACCATAGTCCGCATCCTCTTGGTGGTTTAAAAGGGAAGGGTGCTAAAGCACACACCCACCCAAATCCAGGGCCATCTTACACATAGGTGCTAGGGGTGCGGGGCACCCGAGCGTCAGGCTCTCAGGGGCGCTAGGCCAAGAGTCCGGGGCCCGAGAGTTGAGTCCGAGGAAGAGCCCGCCCATTGGTTGGAGTGCTGCGGCAGGCTCTTCTGCTGTGGGTGGCTCTGCGCCACAAGTTTGGGGGTGACCAAGCCAGCAAGACGCTGAGGCGGCTAGCCGGCTGAGCCCTCCTGTGTGCCTGAGACTGGGCAACCTGTGGGGGATGGTGCTGGGCGGATCTTTTCACCCCGGTGCCACATATGCTTAAGACAGCCCTGCCCAAATCCATACATGTTCGCAACCCAGTCCCTTCCCAGACCCTCAAAGTATCCTTCCTAGGGCTAAAATGTTTACTCAGTTGATTAATTAGACTAATGGATTAAAAACCTTCAAACTGTTTAAAAACATGCCACTATTGGATCACTATTGCTTACTTCTTTAACAAGCTTTACTCGAAGAACTTGCAGAACTCCAGATTGCAGGCTCCATTTTAGAAGAGTGATTTCACCTAAACTCTTACTAGTGACTCCTCTAAGAGTGGTGATGTGTGCCATCTAAACATTCCAGTATACAGTGGTGCCCCACAAGACGAATGCCTCGCAAGACGGAAAACCCGCTAGACGAAAGGTTTTTCCGTTTTGGAGGCGCTTCGCAAAACGAATTTCCCTATGGGCTTGCTTCGCAAGACGACAGCCCATAGGGAAATCTCCGGGACAGCGGGGAAGCGCAGCGCGTCTTCCCCACTGTCCTCGGACCTCCGAAGCCGGGCGGCGGGGCGGGAACACCTCCACCCACCGCCGGGCTTCGGAAGGCTCCTCCGAAGTCGGGCGGCGGGGAGGGAACACCTCCCCCCGCCGCCCGGCTTTGGAACGATGCTCCGAAGCCGGGCGGCGGGGCCGCGAAGCCTGGGCGCGCTGATCTCAGCACGCGCAGGCTTCGGCATGCTGGCAACTCTCCACAAGCAGCGGGAGCACTCCCGCTGCTTGCGGAGAGGTTCGCGAAGCCTGTCCAGGACAGCTTTTGAAGGCGGGGGGGGGGGGAGCAAAGACCCGGGCAGGGGGCGAAAGTCTTTGCTCCCCCCTGCCTGCCTTCCCGGGAGAGCGGAGAAAGGCAGCGTGTTTCTCCGCTGTCCCGGACGGCTTTTGAAGGCAGGCGGGGGGGAGCAAAGACTTTCGCCCCCCGCCCGCCTTCAGAAGAGGTCCTGGACCTCTTCTGAAGGCTGGCGGGGGGCAAAAGTCTTTGTCCCCCCTGCCTGCCTTCCCAGGGGCTTTTAAATTGCCCCGGACAGCGGAGAAGTCCTCCGCTGTCCCGGGGTTTTTTAAAATGCTGGGGGTGGGAAGAAAAGCCCTTGTCCCCCCCCCAGCCTTCAGAAGAGGTCGGGGGACAGACTGTCCCCGGACCTGGTCTGAAGGCGGTTTCCATAGGAACGCATTAATTGATTTTCAATGCATTCCTATGGGAAACCGTGCTTCGCAAGACGAAAAAACCGCAAGACGAAGAGACTTGCGGAACGAATTAATTTCGTCTTGCGAGGCACCGCTGTAATTTGTTTTCCTTTTGGAATATTGCTTTTACTCCAATTGAAAGTTACACAGATTTCATTGATGTATTTATTGATCAAGTACACAGTCGAATCAAGTTTAGCATTTGAGTTTTAAAAGGAGATTTATGGATTGGGTGCACAGCACTAATCCCCATCCACCCACACCACAAAGAGGCAGTAAGTGTGAGACCAGCGTAAACCAGCCACCAGCTTTGCCACCTTAAAAACAAAAAGTGCCTTGTTGCATCAGTTCAAAGCTTTATCTTGTCCTCCTGCATTCCTTCTCCAGTGCTGGGCCTCCAGCTGCCTATAAGCTCATAGATCATAATGAGACCATGAGAATCTGCCTTATACTGAAATATATATATATATATATATAAATTAAAAATTAAAAAGTCCAGTAGCACCTTAGAGACCAACTAAGTTTGTTCTTGGCATAAGCTTTCCTGTGCATGCACACTTCTTCAAATACACTGAAACAGAAGTCACCAGACCCTTATATATATAGTGGGAGGGTGGGGAGGGGTTTTTCTCAGAAGTGTAGTAGAAGATGGGTGATTGCCTCAATGGGTATGGTAAACCTGTTGACGACTGTTAACAACTGCAATTAGTCCTACAGGAAAAAGCAAGGAATAGTATGCAGATGATTAGCATATGTAAAGAGACAGGAATCCAATATCTCTATTAAGACCCGGTCTCTCCATAGTTTGCAGTTTAGTGATAAGCTGTAATTCAGCAACTTCTCTTTCAAGTCTGTTTCTGAAATTCTTTCGTAATAAGACAGCTGCTTTGAGATCCTGCATTGAATGTCCTGGGAGATTGAAGTGTTCTCCTACTGGCTTCTCTGACTTGTCTTGTCTTATACTGAGTCACACCGTTGGTCCAGCAGCAGCTCTCCACAGTTTCAAGCAAGATACGTCACCAACTGCAGATTTTGGGGACTGAACCTGGAATCTTCTGCATGCACAGCAGATGCTCTACATCAAAGGGTCTTCAGCAGGACCAGGTGGCTGTAGGCATCTCCTGTTGTTTGTCTCTAACATCTGCCATTGGTGGCATACTGCTTCTGCATATGGAAGTCCCATGCTTACCCATTAGTATGTCTTACAACTGGCCTTGATGGGTCTACCCTACATGAATTCATCTTCTTAGATAGTTGGCTAGCTGAGATCACTTAAAGGCAGGAAGCTTCCATAAGAAGTGTGTCCTTATTTTGGTAGGAAGCTAAGTCTAAATTCTCTAAGAAATGTAAATGTGCTGTTCTCTTTTCTTCCTCCTCAGCTGTTCAGAGAAGTGAGGGGGCGATAGTGAGTGATGGTGGCCCCCACCATGGAGCAGGAGACACACATGGAAGCAGCCATAGAAGTGAAGGTGTTTGCAGCCGTGATAGGGCTACCTCTGGCAGCAGCACAACCACAAGGAGCGTCCAGACACGTGATGGGGATGTTCGCAGTTCTTCTGGCCCAGTGACACATGCCCCTGCTCAGGGCTTCAGTGGTGGAAGTACTAAGACCACCACATTGCGCTTTGTGTCTGCTAGTTACTCATGTGGGCCACCACATTGAAAATAAGGAGTCCTGTGTAGAATGAAACACAAATGTTTCTCAGCTCCTGATATCAGAAAAAGAATGTCTGCTTCTGTCATTGCTGAGCAAGAAGCGGGGGCCGCTTGTTGATGATTTGGAGAACAAGAAGCGAGATATATAAATCTGAAAGTGGAAAAAACCCTGTTTTCTCATTGTAGTCTTTGTCTGACAAAAGGCCCTTTCTGATATCATCTCAGTAGGGTAGGAGGCTGCCGCCATCTGTCTCCCTCTGGGGCTGCTCTGGTAACAAAATTATTTGGGAGGAATCTACAACACTTTCCCATAGCACCACTGCCTCAGCTTCTGACCAGAGAAGGTTTCATTTGTCATATTTATTCATACATTTAGATCCCTCCACCTTTCCTCCAAGGCAGGGGTCAGCAAACTTTTTCAGCAGAGGGCTGGTCCACTGACCCTCAGACCTTGTGGGGAGCCAAACTATATTTGGGGGGGGGATGATGCAAGCAGCAGGGGCTGTCGGTGGCGGAGGGACGATGAGCAATGAACAAAAGGGCTGCTTAAAAATGGTGGCCACTCGAGCGCTGCTGCTGCTGGCACCAACAAAGCCCACCCCCTTCCTCCTCTTGGCAGGGCAGGGAGAAGCCAGGAGGAGGGAGGGAAGAGGAGGCGGCACTGCCGTGTGAGGGAGAAGGAGGGAGAGGGGAAGAATGTGCATGCTGGCGATCCATGCGGTGATTCCCGGACCATCCGTGGGCCAGATCCAGAAGGCAATTGGGCCTGATCCGGCCCGCGGGCCTTAGTTTTCCTACCCACGCTCCAAGGTGATTTACATGGTTCTTCTCCTTACTTCTTTATCCTCACACAACAACCCTCTGAGTTAGATTCAGCTGAGAGACAGTGGCTGGCCCAGGACCACGCTGTGAGCTTTATGGTCCATCTCCCAGGTCCTAGTCCAACCACTATGGTACCTTGGCTTCAGCCACCTGGAGGCCTCTTGAGCTTCTCTTAATCTGACAGGTGGTAAAGGGGACTCACCTTATCTCTGATGGCTTGTGGGGCTGGAAATGGGTCATGAGATAAGTTCCTTGGTAAGACTACCTGATTTCCTCCTGGAGGGATCAGCACATTGCCTCCTAACTTCCCCTTTGGCTGCTTCTCACCCCTTCAGGACCTCAGCTTCCAGTACTCCATCCCTACCTTGTCACCCTGCTGTCCCTCCAGTGTTGGAAGAAGTGGGCTGAGCTGTTACTTTTTGCATGCAAGACAAATAGTCTACGACCCCCATAAGTGTGACTAGTGGCAAAGGCATGGGGGAGGGATGGCACACCTGGGCATGTGGGTTCTTGGACTTGGTTGTGGCACAGAATTGGATCCACCCACTTATCTGCCACCCAAAGTTACTTGCCCCCCAAGTAAACCAGAAGCAAAACTATACGAGGCATGAGAGCAGCGAGAGGCTGCACACTAGTGTGACACTGTAGCCCCATAAAGACTGCCCTCCACTAAGCAGGTGTTTAGGATTTTTTCTAGTACAGGAACATGATGCCAGCAGCCTTATAAGTAAGTATTAATCAACTCTGAATTGTTGTAAGAAAACAGCCAGTGACTAAAGAAAGGTGCACTCTGATCCTGAAAGGATGTAGAAGATTGGCTGTGGTTACCTAAATTTGTGGGAGAAGAACTCTGCCTACCATTAGACACAGAGGCATTTCATATATTCAAAGCTTTGAGAAAGGTTGTTTGTGGATACTCAAAAGAGAATTTGAAGAACCTGTAACAAAATGTTGCAGTATGGTGGGCTCCTGTTCAGAATGCCAGCCAGCCAGCCAAACTCTTTTTCCAGGATTCTCCCATTCAATTCTCCTCCACCCCTCCACAACAGGCAGTCAGCACTGCATCCCCACTATGCATGCTCAGTCCTTGCCAAAATGATTTTAGTCTCGACCCCCAAACTTGCTTTTTTGTGCTTTTGCAAACCTTGGGATTTCCCCAAACTTGCAGATTACTTCCCTCTTGTGCATAGCTGATGCTATTTTGGTTACATAAAGATTCACACTTGAAGAATGACTTCGCTATTAGTATATATTATAGGATCTGGCTGGGACTCACATCACAAAAAATAACAATTATTTATGGAGCCTTGCGTTTTTTCATAAAGCTAAGATACCATCACACTGTAGGTCATGTGCTGCTGTATAGGTTTATTGGAAAATACAGAAATAATCCAAGAGAAACGCAAACCATGGGGACAGCAGGAGGAATAATCAGCAATGTCCCCACCTCTACTTGTACACTGAATAAAGGAATGCAACTGCAAATCAGTGCAGCTAGCTGACAGTGTGGTAAGCTGAAAAACGACAGTTTTTGCATGTGTGTAGTTGCCCCATTGGTGTGCATGAAATGATCTGAAGGAGTTAGCCACCACTTAGCTTCATCTATCCAAGAGATCCCCACAAAATCAAATCCCTGATTATTGCAAAAAACAGTTGTTTAAATAGTCTGCCCTCGAGGAACCTCAGAGTTCCCCAGAAGCTTATCAAAAGCTTTTTTTCTTTTTTCTTTGCTTTTTATTTTAGCTGATTGGTAATGGTGGAAAACAGCTTGCCCACCAGGACCAAGTCAGCAAAGAAGTTTTGGGTGGGTGTGTTCTGCATTTTACTGTCAGTTGGGATCTTGTGAGTGGTAGGGGGAAAAGATGTGCTTCCCTGCTGGAAGGCAAAAAAAAAGAAAAGCTGAGTGCATAATACTAGCATGCACTGTGCATATTTGACACAGTCCACATATATTTTGTAACTAGGTGATAGGGATGGAATAGTTTTAATTGGTCTCAGGTGGTCTCCCCCCCCCCCAAGTTTAATTCTTCCCATTTCTACACCAGTCTGCAACCCTTAAAAAAAACAGAAAAGACCACCTGAAAATTAAGGTGCATTTTCATCTGCATTTCACCTAATTCATTCAAGGAATGAAGTTTTGTGTGCACTTTCCCATAACACATGCTTTGTTGCATGCTTTTGGGTGTCATTTGTGTTGGAGAACAACATATCAAGACTCAGAGAAGTGCAAATTTTAAGGACATCTGTGTTTTGATTCACATGCTGCTTCAAGAACTGTGAATTAGGTAGGTTTGCATTTTAATGTGAACGAATGTCTCACCCATCCCTACCAGGTGTGCATACCTGGCTAAAGAAAGGAGTATGCAGAGTAGCCCTAAATGCTCTTCTAGAAGGCTTAGGTGTCCCCGCTGAAGCACCGAGTCCCCCTTTCAGAATGCTCCTTTTTGTTTTCGTTTTAATATTTTGTTCTAAAAGAAGTGGAAGTGGACACAAATTTGACATTAGAGCTTTTTGCACTTCCCGCACTGTGTGCCCCAACTGATAGGCAAGGGGCACCCAGTTCACTGCCACCAGCCATGATGCCTCTTCCAACAATCCCTCCACCTCGGACTATGGTCCTGCTGCTCGAAGCATATCCTCCACCGATACAAGGATCAGAATCATACATAGCTCCTCCCTGGGTCCGACACACTGCTGCAGCAATAACAGGGAAACACAACACAGGCTTCATTAGTTCAAAACTCAAGAGAGATCCACAGGAGATCCATAACAAAAGTGAAAATATAGAAAGCAAAGTACGACTTACAGATATTCACGGGGCAGACCCCTTCACCACACAACCTGTTCAGAGAGAATGGGAAAGTCTCATATTTCCATTGTATCATGGATGCTGAAATCTGAACTGAAGTGATCCCCCTTTGTCTTGGTTCATGTGGCTCGCCACATGTTGCAGTTGAAATCAGTTTCCAAATGGTGGCCCTCAAGGGTTGGGTCATGCTCAGATGAGATCAGAGGTAGCCAACATGGGGTTCTCCGGTTGTTGCTGGATTACAGCTTCCCATCATCCCTGACCATTGGCCAGGCTTGCTGGGGCTGGTGGATGTTGGGGCCCAGCAACATCCGGAGGGCACCATGTTGGCTAGTCTGGCATAAAAAGGTAAAGGGACCCCTGACCATGAGGTCCAGTCGTGGCCGACTCTGGGGTTGCGGCGCTCATCTCGCTTTACTGGCCGAGGGAGCCGGCGTACAGCTTCCGGGTCATGTGGCCAGCATGATTAAGCCACTGTTTACCTTCCTGCCGGAGCGGTACCTATTTATCTACTTGCACTTTGACATGCTTTTAAACTGCTAGGTTGGCAGGAGCAGGGACTGAGCAATGGGAGCTCACTCCGTCGCGTGGATTCGAACCGCTGACCTTCTGATCGGCAAGTCCTAGGCTCTGCGGTTTAACCCACAGTGCCACCCGCGTCCCTGGCATAGACCTCAGGAAATCTATGGGACTTGTTTGTAATGACTAGCCAAAGTCCCAGTGACTTCAGCAGACCTATTCTACATGTGACTATCTCTGGATCCAACCTGGTGTGTGCACCTTGCATCGAAACAATCAACTCACCTGCTCTCCTCTCCTTCCAACAGCTTCCTGTAGGTGGCAATCTCAATATCCAGGGCCAGCTTGACATTCATGAGCTCCTGGTATTCCCGCAGCTGTCGGGCCATGTCTGCTTTGGCCTTCATCAGGGCATCTTCTAGCTCTGTTAGCTTGCACTTAGCATCTTTGAGAGCCATCTCTCCACGATCTTCTGCTTCTGCAATGGCAGCCTCCAGTTTGCTGCGCTGCAGAGGCAAAACCCAGAGACATAGTCCCGACACATTCTCATCCATTGGGCTGAACAATTTAAGCTACCATGGATAAACTGGACATTAGGGCTAAAGTTCTAAAGGAGATTTTTCCAGCCCGAGGATGACATTCCCTTCTGGGAAACAGTGGTGGATGGAGACAGAGGCAAAAAAGGGTTGTGCAAGGAGTGCAAATTTTATCTCTGTACAGTAGAGTAGTTTCTATGCACATTCACACACCCCTCTGTATCCTCCATCCAGGCAACCAAAAGTTCAAGGACACATTCAAGTCAGGCCAAAAAATCTTAAGCAGGATGCAAAGCATAGTCAGGGAACAGATGTGGCCTGGGAAAAGTCCTGAGGGCCAGATGGAGAAGGCTGGAGGGCTACTTTTGCCTGAGCTTTTACCCAGGCCTGAGGTTCCTCATCTCTGCTCTAGAGGGACTGTACTGAGACTGACTGATATTAGAACCTAAAACTCTTCACATTGAATGAGTTCTGGAGACCCCAGAGAGGCAGCTATTGTATCATCTTTGCAAGAATTACACAATTCAGGTCAAGTCTCTCTGTTGCGCCAGGCACTTCATTTATACACTTTATAGCAGGAAACATGAAGATCCCCCCGAATCTTGCCTAGAGCAAAACTAGAAATCAATTCCAAGGATTCTGCTCAGGTGAAATATCTGTGGAAGGTTTCGGGGTAGTTAACAGAAAGTTGATCAGGCTTTCACTAGGTTTTTTAAAAATTAACTATATTTCTTTCTGTCAATATAGTCCCAAATGTGTGATCTGAAAGGATGCGAAGCTGCAACCTTGCTGAAGTTAGGCAGCTCTGGATCTGTCCGGTGCCTGCTTATTAGCTAATAATAGACACTATAGCTCCCACTCCTTCCAGTCCTCTTGCCTTCACCCTTTGCTTTCATCAATATAAACAATATAAACAAACAACAGAGTTTCTTCAGCATTAAGAGCCGGCTAAAAAAATTCCCAGGAGATTATTTATTGAGAAACGAATATCACATCCCATGCCAACAATATTCAGCAAAGCACACCCCTCAATTTTCCTGCCCACAAATAGCATGAAGAATTGGAGGGTGAGGTTGCCCAGCCTTCATATTTTTCCTCAGCTCGCTGTGCTGATCAGGAGTTTCTTCCAGGCACAAACTGGTATAATTGTGTCAGACACCCACACAAAAGTTGCCCAGAGTTACCTGCCCTTTGGCACTGTCAATTTCAGCCTTCAGCCTCTGTATCATGCGGTTCAACTCCATGATCTCGTTCTTTGTGTCACGTAGGTTGTCACAGTGCTTGCCAGCTGTTGCCCTCATCTCTTCATACTTAGAAAGAAAACATGACATGTGAAATACCTTCTGGGACAGTCAGACTTCATAATTATCCAAGCAACTCTTCCCTCTTAATAATCCATGGTTTACTAAAGTTCACTGAAGTTTCAGTAATTTTCATGGTAGACAACAATTAACCATAGATTGCATCTCATTTTTAAACACACCAATCTTCCTATACACCTTTTTTAAAAACAAAAAACACCAAGCTTTATTAAAACATCATCTTTTTTTAAAAAAAGTTTGTATTTAAACATCAACAATGCAATCAGCATCTATCTGATAGTACCTGTGAACGGCATTATCTTAGCCATCAAGACAGAAAATGTTTCAACAATGCTCCAGGAGCTGCTAGTGATTTTGGTTGTGAACTTTCTCTGCTAACATATACAATATCAACTATCCTTTCCTCCCAGAGAAATCTAAATCTCACCTTGCACTGGTACCATGACTCTGCCTCAAAGCGGCTCCTGTTTGCGATGTCTTCATACTGGGCTTTGACCTCAGCAATAATGTCATCCAAATCTAGGGCTCGGCTGTTATCCATTTGCACAATAACAGAGGTATCTGAGATACAGGCATGGAGTTCCTGGAGTTCCTGTAAGAAGCTAGGTATGAGATTCCTCTTTCACCTGTTATTGCAGACCCTCCAAGTGTCCCTAATTTCCTGGGACAGTCCCAGATTTACAGAAGCTGTCCTTTTTTCTGATTTGATCCCAGAATGTCCCACTTTTCCTTAGGATGTCCTTATTTTCATTGGATAAATGTTGGAGAGTATGGAGTTATCCAACCCCCAAGTCATCTAAAGGCAGCCCTGTATAGGGAAGGTCTTTTTAAAATGGTTAATGTTTTGTTATGTTTTTATATATGTTGGAAGCCGCCCAGAGTGGCTGGGGCAATCCACTCAGATGGGTGGAGTATAAATAGTAAAATCATCATCATCATCATCATTATTAATATTGAATAGGGTCTCCTATTTTTCTTGGAGAAATGTTAGAGGGTATGTTATTATTAGATGACCATTTTCTGTATTCTCAAGGGCCACTCTCTAGGCCTGGGGGACTGGATCAAACCAGTCCCATATTGGATTTCATTTGCATTACATAGCAGTATGGGATCCACATATGTTGGGATGGAATAAGTCAGGTGTGACTAACTCCCAGGTCAACGGCTTGATGTACCCACCCACCCACCCCCAATATCCCACCATTTTTGCTGGCTGCAGCAAAAAGGGGAGGAGTGTTAAAGCAGACACAGTGCTGGGTGGAGCCCGGAGCCTTGATTCAGATCAAACATTTGATGAGGAGAGAGGGCAGTGACAGCCCTGCCTCCTCAGCTGTTCTGTATGAATCAGCTGAGGAAGGAAAGCTGAGTGCTTCTGTGTTTGTGTATGTTTGTCTCTGCCTGTGTGCGTGCGTGCAAGAAAATACATGTGAATATGTGATGGGTACACCCCCTTTTGGCCACATCAACTGCTGAGCATGTGCCCATCCTGCCTGAAGTTTGGCCATGGGTGAATTCTTGGGCCCAAAACTGGTTAGCCACTCTTTACTTCCTGAAAGGCTCCAGGAATTATTAAAGAGATTCTTTGCCATTGGGGAATTCACCCAGACTGATGTGGAATACACAGCAAGGCACAGGGCTGCATAAGAAAGGGGGTTGGTGGTGGGAGAAGAATACTAAAAAAAACCTTAAGCACACCTGAATTAAAATGTAATGAAGTGATCAGAGGCCAGATAAAGCTCCACACCAGAGACCCCTTGCAGTAGGGGAACTTAGGTCTGGTGATGCCTCCATCCTCTCTGCTTGAGGAGGTAACCCTATCGCTCTTCTGACTCACATTATTTGCCCACAGTATGTCCTGCAGCTCTGGAGCCACCCCTCCACTCTCACGCCACATCCAGGGGAATAAGGAAGTTTCCCAGTTCCAATGGAGGAGGCAGTGCCTGTCAGTTTTCCCTCAGGAGATGGAGCGTGAGGAACTCTCCAGACAGCAAGACCACTTCAAGCTTTCACTTTGCTCCAGATTTATGCCAGGGAGACATTCCAAGCGCTCTGGGTGTCAATTTGCCTACATCAAGTTTGAACTTGTAATCAGGTACTGCAGTGGGCAGTCTATGGTCCTGACTGGCCTATCTTGGACTTCTTCCATGCTTGCCTGGGAGACTCCAGTAAACTTCTGTCTCAAACAAGACAGACTGGATCTGGCCTGTGGGTTGCCAGTTTTCACCATAGGTGTGTGTGTGTGTGTGTGTGTGTGTGTGTGTGTGTGTGTGTGATCAGCTCTAGCTGCGTAAGGTTGAATACTATGCATTGACAACATACCTGAAATTTGGTTGTGCTTCTGAAAAATCAAATGGGCTCATCAGACATATGTCAAAATGCCTCTCTATACTGGCTAACCTTAGACTTTCCCCCTCTTTTATTACCATACATTCTCATTGTTGCTGTTGCTGTTTAAAGGTATATAGACTTTCCCCACTTCATCAAAAAAAAGTGGGCTACAATGTGTATTGCAGATTAGGAAATGTCATTACCGCCTCGTACAAGCATCTCAGAAAGTTGATCTCCTCAATTAAGCTTTCCACTTTCGCTCCCAGGTCAGCCTTGTTCATGTATATGCAGTCAACATCCTAGGGACCAGTTAAACATATGGTAAGACAGGGTGCTTTTAAATTAAATTACAATTTCCCGGAACACAACCGTGGGCCATTGGTAGAATACTTTGATAATGGCCCATACCCAGTATTTCATGCAGCAGAGCAGGAAGCCTGTCTGAAGCAGATACAAGTGGGACATCTGACAGTGTGGAGTGCTTGCTGTTTAGGATTTCAGCCTCTCCATTCCATTTCCCCCCTTCAATACCCAATCAACATCCCATGGCCACTGAGCACGCTCAGTTCTCACTAGAGAAAAGACCCTTGTTGAATCAGACCATTTTATGCAATTCAGTCTCCTTTTGTGCCTTGGAGGGGACTGTCCTTTCACCAGTGCTGAAGTCAGATACACCTGCCAATCTGCTTGGCTCCTTGGGGAAGAACCATCTCGCTCTTCATGTTCAGGAAAGAAGCAGCTTTGGCTCAGCCCTCGAGTATCATCTTCTGTCTGGAGAGGGCTAGAATTGTACCATCCTTCCATGACTCAACATGGTTTCAGTACCTCATTGGTTCCTTATGGCCTTGCTATGAATCATCACAGGTGAAGCCTATTTTGTTTTGCTTTTTAACCTGGGCAGCAGCTAGATTCTTGACTGTGTACCTCTTTAGATACTTCCCCATTACCTGCACTTACCATCTTATTCTCCAATGTATTTGCCTGTCTGTAGACTCAACATGCAATTCTGCTTCCCCCTCTGCTGTACCCCATTAGACAGACCGAGAAAGTCACCTCACAAAGCATCCCAACATGGCTGCGCCCACTGCTTTTTTTCTTAAAAAAAATCTTTAGGGCTACTCTCATTTTCCTACCCATATTGAAATACTGCCCCTCAATGAGTCCCAACTTAGATTCACAAAGTGTTTAGGGGTATACGTACTCCTGCATCCCCCCAGGGGGAAAAAATCACTAGCTGTGCCTGACATATTTTTCTCAATAGCCTGCAAACCAATCTTTACAACAGTGAAACTTGGAAAGAAGACCTCCAGTCACATCTCTGCCTTTAGATAAACAACTAGTAAATGGACACTTTTTATATCCAACACCAGAAAGAAGAGATGTCACTGGAGAATGGCCATAGCACACTGCTAGAGCATCTTCAGAAGGTCCCAAGTCCAATCCATGGCATGATCTCCAGGTGGAGCTGGAAATGTCCTCTGCCTGAAACCCAAGGACAGCTGTTGCCAGTCAGTGTAGATGACATGGGCCAATGGTTTGACTTGGTACAAGGCAGCTTCCTCTGCCCCATGCTCATTTATTTCAATCAAGATGTGCATCACTTACCTTTTTAAGTGTTACAAATTCATTCTCAGCACGGGTTCGTCCATTGCACTCCTCTTCATACCTGGTGAGAAAGTGGATCAGTTCTGGACAAGGCAACGTGCATGGGGCGCTCAACCTGATCTGATTGCACAAGATTTGTGCAGAGCTTATACGATTCCCACTGCATATTGACATTCCTTCTGAGTTGTTTGCACTGTGGGTATATGACGTCACTCAACATCATCTTTATCCCACGTTTCCGAGTGAATTTTCCTATCAGTTTCCTTACAACGTATTATGTGTGAAGCAGATCTGTTGGCCAGGAAACCAAATCCACCTTATTTGTGCAACTTGAAATTGCTGGTGCATGATTGAGTCATATTGCAAAATAGCAACAGTCCACAACTGGCCCTATTATTACACTGTAAAAAGTATGTGACATTTGAACAGTACAGCAAATGGGTTTTTCTTATAGTTCAAAGAAATACAGGCATCGTTTGGAGATGTTGGGCGTTTGGTTCTAGACCACTGCAACACAGTGAATATCGCAATAAAGTTACACATTATTATTATTTTGTTTCCCAGTGCATATAATTATGTTTACACTCTACTGTAGTCTATTAAGTGGGTGGGCTGCCTGTAGCTGCACTAGTGCCCTTGTAAAGTGCAGCAGGAGTTGCTGTGTGACGGGTACAGGTTCCTGCAGCCTCGTCTCCAACCCAGAAGCAACAGCAGCAGCTATTCCAGTCCTTCAACTTGTAAAAGAACACAATTTCTGCGAAGTTCAATATATCAAGATGTACTAGTGCTATGTTTTTCGGCAGAGCTATCATCTAATTTCTTGTATGAGACTGGGAATGTAGCTTTGGCTAAGGGTCAAGTTCTTTAACCTAGCATGGGAATATGGATCCTTTTTAGGCCCGGGGGGGGGGGAGAACGTGTGGCCCTCCAGAAGTAGTTGAACCACAGCTCCCATCATCCCTGACCATCGTCCATGCTGGAGTGCAACCGCTCATGAAGGACCACTGGTTCTCAAGTCAAGCTATCCCTGTAGTAAAGATAGGAAGAGGATAAGCCATGAAAGCGGGGAATGGGCCTCCTGAACCTCTCATCAGCACACAGGAGCCAGGGAGAGGGATCAATCACACTTATGTATTTAGTTTTCTTATTATCCTGCTTTCCTTCCATCATGAGAACCCAAGGCAGCAGCGCTGGTCACCCAGACAGATCTTCAGACCTGCTCAGCTTCAGCAAGGTGGTAATCTCATGAACCTTCAGACCACACCCTGGAACTAAAATATGCAGACCCAACAGATATCTATGCTGCACTGCATAAGACTTGCATTGTGCATCAAACGCAGAACATCACAATTCTTTGCAGAATGAAGTCCTGGAGGGAAGGGTGAAGTCTTTGCAGTATAGCTTAGCGCGCTATGCATGGAGAAACAGCGGCAAGTGGGGCTTATCTGAGGCCTTGAAAATGGCTGCTTCTGAGGGAATACTTCACAGAAGCAACATCTTCAACTTTGCATAAGCAAAATCTGTGTTGACTCAGACTGGCATTAAAGAGATTTAATTTATGCATTTCAATCTGCTATGTGTCACTAAACTTTTGAAGAGCTGCATATATTAAGGACCTGTTTGTATGGTGTTCATGTGTAGTAGAATACCCCACACAAAAAAGCTTTTTCTTCTTCAAATGAAGCTTATGCAACTTCAGAAAACATGCTGTGTCACAGATAAATATATGCCACTTACTTTCTCCTGTAATCCTCCAGTACATCTCTTGAGTTGGTCAGGTCAGTCTCCAGCTTACTTCGGTCGCATGCGAGACCCTCCAGGTGCCTCCTCAGGTTATTGATAAACCCATCAAACAAGGGCTCTATGTTGCTCCTGACTCGTTTCTGCTCTTGCAGTAAGCTCCATTTTGTCTCCAGCACCTTGTTTTGTTGCTCCAAGAAGCGGACCTAGCTCCCCCCGCCCACAAAACAACTGTTGTTATGATGAAAGTAGACAAAACCCTATGTATTTATCTGCATGTGTCCTATTCCAACAGCCCTTCTCCTTCCTGCCACCATAGTTATATCTTCCTCCAGCATGGAGACAGGATAATGGAGGATATGGAACACTCAGACCCTACCTGCTCAAACTTGGCTTTGCAGCCACATCTCAAATAGCTTACTGTAGTTTGGTGTGTTGAGGTGCTCCTAGAGTAGTTTAAGAATAAATCCCTCTTGCCAGGGAACTCTGGGAAATGTGAAGGGGAATAGGATTCTCCTAACAACTCTCAGCACCCGTAACGAACATTTTTAGAGGAACCCATGACTGTTAAAGTGGTATAATAGTGCCCTAAATATATGAAATAGAGGGATGCGGGTGGCGCTGTGGGTTAAACCCCAGAGCCTAGGACTTGCCGATCAGAAGGTCGGCAGTTTGAATCCCCTCAACGGGGTGAGCTCCTGTTGCTCGGTCCCTGCTCCTGCCAACCTAGCAGTTCGAAAGCACGTCAAAGTGCAAGTAGATAAATACCTCCGGCGGGAAGGTAAACGGCGTTTCCGTGCACTGCTCTGGTTCGCCAGAAGCGGCTTAGTCATGTTGGCTACATGACCCAGAAGCTGTACGCCAGCTCCCTCGGCCAATAAAGTGAGATGAGCGCCGCAACCCCAGAGTTGGTCACAACTGGACCTAATGGTAAGGGGCCCCTTTACCTTTACCTAAATATATGGAATAGATGTGGCCACAATCTGTTTTCTAAGTTAAGCATACCTAACTCCTTCAACTTTTCCTCATAGGACTTGGTCTCCAGGCCCCATCCAAATGTTTCTTGCCCTCCCTTGGACATGTTCCAGTTTGTCAATGTCCTTAAACTGTGGTGCCCAGAACTATGCTGCATCATAGCTGAGTGGGAATTTGGACCCTGGTCTTTGAGATCCTGGCTTGACATTTTATCACCACCTTTACTATGTTTATAGTCTACTGCTTGGGCATACTGAATTGCTGCAAGCAATATATATATATATATATATATATATATATATATATATATATATATATTTCCTTTCGTAGATTTTCACGGGTACAGGAATGCAGGTTTTGGTGTCCTCGGGAAGACACCCGAGGACACCAAAACCTGCATATATATATATATATATATATATATGCAGGTTTTGGTGTCCTCGGGTGTCTTCCCGTGTAAAAGTTGGGGTGTCTAGGCGACGTTTCGACGAGGTCTCACTCGTCATCTTCAGGCTGGTGCTTTCGGCTTCTTGTTACTGGAACAGAGCAGGATCTCAGTGTTTGAGTTCCTATAAATACTGTTGAGGGGGTGTGGTGTATAGCCTCCAATGTTCTGGGCAGAGAGGAAGTTCCCAGGTTAGTGTGCCTTTTCTTCTTTTGTTCCTTAATTACTTGAGGGATATCTTGAGTGATTTCTTGAGTGATATCCTGAGTACCACTTAGGTGGGTCATTAGGTGTGGATTAGTTGCTAAAGCCTTCGTGTCTTGACCTCTTGAACTTTGTGAAGAGTTTTTCTGAGAAGATGGCTGTACTGCAATTAGTTGTGCTCTGGCTTGGCTTCGTGTATAGGGGCGAGCTGTGGTTTTGTGTCCTGTGCCAGCCAGATCTGTGTAGGGATTGCAGGGGGGTGCAGCATCCGGAGGTGCCACCATGGTTTGGCTACTGGATGGTGTCTGTAATTTATCTGTGGAGAGGGTCTGGGTTTGGGTCTGGTGTGGTTGATTGGTGATGGCGTTCTGTGTGCCTCTGGATCTGGTGTCGGTTTTTGTGGGGAGGGCTAATTTCCAGATGTCTGGCAGGCGGGATGTGTCGTCACGCTTGTTCATGTTGTGAGGGTGTTTCTCTATCTCGATGGCTTCCATGATTATTCTCTTGTGGTGATGTTCCATGTTAGAGAGCAATTTGGAATCTGCAAAATTAATTTCGTGTCCTGTTTCTTTCATGTGTTGGAAAAGAGAGGAAGTTTTTTCTTCTTTTTTGACGGCATTCTTGTGTTCTGCGATACGTGCATTTATTCGTCTGTTTGTTTGTCCAATGTACGTGGCTGGGCAGACTTTGCAGGGTATTTCATAGACCCCTTGGTTTTCCAACTGGATTTTATCCTTGGGGTTTCTGAGGATATTGGCTATTTTTTGGTTGGTGCAAAAGGCTGTTTTGATATTGTGTTTATGGAGGATTTTGCTAATTTTATCTGTAGTGCCCTTGATATAAGGAAGGAGGGCCATGCCATTGTTTTCTTCTGTGTCTTGGTTTTTGGGGGGTGTTTCTTTTTGCATTAGCTTCGTAACCTTGTTTTGCTGGTATCCATTGGCGATTAACACATTGGAGAGATTCTGTAACTCAGTTGTCAAGTGGTCTTTGTCAGCCAGGCGTTTGGTTCTGGAGATGAGAGTCTTGGCTACGGAGTTTATTTGTGCAGGGTGGTGGTGTGATTGTGCATGTAAGTAGCGGTTGGTGTGTGTTTTTTTCCGGTAGATAGTGTGTCCTAGGGAGCCATCAGGTTTTTTGTAGATTAGGACGTCAAGGAAGGGAAGTTGGTTGTTGGCTTCTATTTCCATAGTGAATTGTATTTTGGGGTGTAGGCTGTTGAGATGTGTGAGGAAGCTATCTAGTTTTTCCTTCCCGTGTGGCCAAATTACAAAGGTGTCGTCAACATATCTGAGCCAAAGTTTGGGTTTGTGTTCTGACTTGTCTAAAGCATTGGTTTCAAAGTGTTCCATGTACAGGTTTGCGATGACCGGTGAGAGTGGTGATCCCATAGGTGCTCCTTCTATCTGTTTGTATCTTTGTCCATTGTGGATGAAGTACGTGTTGGTTAGGCAGTGGTTGGTCAGGTCCAGGATGTATTCGGGGGATTGTATTTGTTTTGAATGGCTGTCAAGGCTTCATTAATGGGCACTTGTGTGAAGAGAGATACAACATCGAAGCTCACAAGTAGGTCATTGGGATGTAGGTTTTGCTTCTTTATTGTTTCTATGAACTGGAAGGAGTTTGTAACGTGTGAAGAGATGGATTCTGCATAGGGCTGAAGTTGCTAAACATTGCTAAACAGTAGCCAAACCATGGTGGCACCTCCGGATGCTGCACCCCCCTGCAATCCCTACACAGATCTGGCTGGCACAGGACACAAAACCACAGCTCGCCCCTATACACGAAGCCAAGCCAGAGCACAACTAATTGCAGTACAGCCATCTTCTCAGAAAAACTCTTCACAAAGTTCAAGAGGTCAAGACACGAAGGCTTTAGCAACTAATCCACACCTAATGACCCACCTAAGTGGTACTCAGGATATCACTCAAGAAATCACTCAAGATATCCCTCAAGTAATTAAGGAACAAAAGAAGAAAAGGCACACTAACCTGGGAACTTCCTCTCTGCCCAGAACATTGGAGGCTATACACCACACCCCCTCAACAGTATTTATAGGAACTCAAACACTGAGATCCTGCTCTGTTCCAGTAACAAGAAGCCGAAAGCACCAGCCTGAAGATGACGAGTGAGACCTCGTCGAAACGTCGCCTAGACACCCCAACTTTTACACGGGAAGACACCCGAGGACACCAAAACCTGCATTCCTGTACCCGTGAAAATCTACGAAAGCATATATATATATATATATATATATATATACTACTTCCCCTCATTCCTGATCTCCACGGCCAACGCAATAGTTGCATAAGAACATTTACCCTCTCACAATACTCCCTACCCACCAATCATTTGGAAAAGCTCTGTGTCTACCCATGGGACAAAGTTGTACAGAATACTGGAATGTGTCCTCCAAATGTGTCAATTTGGGTGAGAGATTTCCAGCTTTCTTCCAGTGCTGTAGGATCTAATATTTTGGCCAGTGTGTACAGAAATCCAGTATTCTGAAACTGGGAGTTGAATTTGTTTGGCATTAAGTAGTAGAACCCATTCTACTACTTTGCGTGCTGAAGACTCAAGGTTCAAGTTCCTCACATCTCTACTCTTGTGAAAATGCCATAGCTTTATGCTAAGGTTGCATCACACCCTTTAGAGGGTGGGTCAAGGAACCCCCTAGAACCATGGTCACTGGGAATACAGGTGTTAATTGCTTAGGTTTAACCTTTAGCAACCACTTGCACCCTAAGGCAATTGGGCTACAACTGCTGCCACATGCTAACCCACTACCCTATAAGCACCAACATGGAATTGGTCTCAGAGAAGACCAAGAGGGCCAAACCACAAAACTACAGAAAGTAGAGTAGGAGAGACTGTAGCACAACAGAAAGTAACAGTGAATCATAGCTCTGTAGTAGAACAAGTATTTTCTATGTGGCAGTTCCCAGGCTCAATTCCTGACATATCAATTTAAAGGATCATCCTCAGGTAAGCAAAGTGGGTAAAACATTCTATCTGAGACCCTGGCAACACAGCAGGAACCTGCGGCCCTCCCTCCAGGTGTTGTTGAACTACAACTCCCATCATCCTTGACAATTGATCTTGCTGGCTGGGGCTGAAGTCCAGTAGCCTCTGTTGGGTTCCACATCCCTGATTTAGATGGATGAGGCCACTTAATGTTCTTCCTCCCAAAGGTGCTTTGAGAGTTGTTGTGTTTTGTTGTTGTTTTTAAAAAGCCAAGCAACGCCTGTGGGTCTCAAAGTGCTGGAAGCAATTGGGGGATCCAAGCAATGCATTGGTCAGTGGAACCGCTGAGCTAAGCTGGTTCGCTTTGAGAGTTTTAAAATAACCATCAGTCCAGAAGTAACATCCAATGTGTTTCAAGTCAGCAAGGCTCCTTACTAGGGAATTACGAATTACCCAAAATATTCGCATGTCAAGATGTTTCTGCTGTAAAACATGGTTTCATTCTCATCTCCCCATTGGGACATGACTTGATGGTATTGGGGGATGGATGGCAGTTGGAGGATGGATAGCAGCTAACAGATTGAGGTTGAATCCTGACAAGACAGAAGTACTATTTTGGGGGGACAGGAGGCGGGTAGGAGTGGAGGACTCTCTGGTCCTGAATGGGGTAACTGTGCCCCTGAAGGACCAGGTGCGTAGCCTGGGAGTCATTTTGGACTCACAGCTGTCCATGGAGGCACAGGTCAATTCTGTGTCCAGGGCAGCTGTTTACCAGCTCCATCTGGCACACAGGCTGAGACCCTATCTGCCTGCAGACTGTCTCACCAAAAAAAAGCATGCTCTAGTTATCTCTCGCATGGAATACTACAATGCGCTCTAGGTGGGGCTACCTTTGAAGGTGACCCGGAAACTACAACTAATCCAGAATGCGGCAGCTAGACTGGTGACTGGGAGCGGCCGCCGAGACCTAAACGGCCTCGGTCCAGTATACCTGAAGGAGCGTCTCCACCCCCATCATTCACCCCCTGAGGTCCAGCGTTAAGGATCTTCTGGCAGTTCCCTCACTGCAAGAAGCGAAGTTACAGGGAACCAGGCAGAGGGTCTTCTTGGTAGTGGCGCCCACCCTGTGGAACACCCTCCCACCAGATGTCAAAGGAAAAAACAACTACCAGATTTTTAGGAGACATCTGAAGGCAGCCCTGTTTAGGGAAGCTTTTAATATGTGAAGGACTACTGTATTTTAATATTTTGTTGGAAGCCGCCCAGAGTGGCTGGGGAAACCCAGCCAGATAGGTGGGGGTATAAATAATATATATATTATTATTAAAATAAGTTTTCCTCAGAGTAGACCTGCTGAAATCAATGTTAGGTCCATTCATTTCATTGTGTATACTCTGAGTAAAACTTAGTTGAATACTACCAACCGCATGCTTTCTTGCTGAAGATTTTGGTTAACGAATAACTTTAACTCCATCCACTGAAATATCTATACGAGTTGTTTAGAGTGGAGACCACCATCTGATGACTCACCTTGTCAATGAATGAAGCGAATTTGTTGTTGAGGGTCTTCAGCTGCTCTTTCTCCTGTTGTTTCACCATTTGGACGTTGGGGTCAATGTCCAGGTGGAGAGGCTGGAGGAGGTGAGGGTTGACCGTGACAGGCGCAATGCCTGGTGAGCAAGTCCCACTGACTCCGCCAACCCTGTAGCCAAAGCTGGAAGTACCATAGCCATGTCCAAAACCAGCGGCCCCCAGACCATATCCATATCTCACTGGGCGGTAGCTGCCAGCAGCTATTCTGGGCCTGCAGGACGCAACACCAGAAAGACTTCTGCTACCAAATCCTAGCCCTCGGGGGCCCACACTGCTGCCCCCTTTGTATGAGACGGTGCTAACGGCACTGTAGCGTTTCACATTCCTTGGTACCACAGCTGAGGATGAGCTGTAATTCCTGACTGCACCACCCCCTCTAGTACTAGCACAGAATGACTGGCAAGACATAGCAGCTGACAGACAGCGGAATGAAGGATGATGCCTTGTGTCTCTGTGTGCCGGAGCAGGCAGGGAAGTTATCCACAGGCGGTACCCTCACTCTGAAACCAGAACTGGAACTTTCTCCTCTTTTTATCTGCGTGATGGGCAGCTCTCATCAGCCCCAAATCTCCATTTACATCCCGTTTATTAGCTTGGGGTGTTGGTTAACCAGTATGCTTGCCCGTTTTGCTGAGCAAGGATCTGAGCTATACTTAAAAGCACGTCTCCCGTAACTTCGAATTTAATGGCAGGGAAATCCAGTTCCATAAAAACTAGACTTGAAGGCCTCCACTTTTTATAGTGATGATGAAAAGAGAAAAGCAAGAGAAAAGGACTCTTTTGATGTCCTCAGCATGTTCAGAGTTTGATTCATTTTACAGGTGAGAAAAAGCAAATGTTGATACATAAGCCTGTGAGAATGCTTAGCTGGTGATGAACAGATGTGGTCAGAATCTGAATTCAGATTATGCCATTGTAACTCTGGAGCTCCTTGTTGATTTACCTTGGGTCCAGGTTTTTTCCCAGGGGGAACTCACAGGAACTCAGTTCCAGCACCTCTCAGGTGGGTACTGGCACCTCTCCGTTGCCATTCTAAGAGAACAAGAGAGGTATTCATGGAGAGTTCTGGCACCTCTTTTTCTAGAAAAAAATTGCACTGCTTGGACCCATTGAGCAAAGGAAGCGTGGCTGGAACTATATGTCTGGGTTGGCAGTCCCACATGAACACTGACTCCATTGCACATCCTCGTCCCGTGTAATTTTTGATAGAGCCAAACACTTGCTATGCCATCAAGCTGAAATTCTGATCATCCCTGCAAAGAGCAGCCAATGAAGTGGAAAGGGCCGGAAAACTCACATTGCTATGGCATCATATTCTGATGGCATCATATTCCGTTCATTTATTTATTGGAAATGTCTGTAAATTGCCTTTGGACCAAATGTCTCCAAGGTAGCTAACTTTTCGGCTTCTCTTTTTCCACGTTTTTTTCCTGTTTATTTTGGGACATTTCTGCACCGTAATTCATCAGTATTTTAGTGTTTATTTCTCCATCCTGAATCCCTGTTTTGCTATTAGTTACCAGCCATCACAAGATGAAAATGCAAGAGACAGAGTAATATGCCTCCCTCAATGTTCTTGACTGAGAAGTCTTACCAATCCGAAACTAGGCTGGCCTTTAAATGCTCCAGCTGGCAACAAAACTGTATTCCCCACCATCCATTTGCTCAGCAGCCAACCCCAACTCTGTGATGAGCATACTCATTTGGTGCACATGTTGTCAAATGCCTCTTTCTCATATGCACCCTTCACACTTTTAGGTGGACACTTTAACAAGAATACTACATGTACAAAAAAGAACGTATGAAGAGGCCCCGAGTTTTATGATTTGTAGAAAAGACAAATTCTGAAGCACAAACATTTAAATTTATGATGAATGGTGCCAAAAAAGAGGTGCAAACTGATATGCGCTGACCTGAACTTAACAGAGAGAAATTGACATTGACATTTCGCTCATCCTTACTGTCTGAGTGGCGTGTGTAATGACATGGTGCAGATCTTGCAACTGAACCTTCCCACTTTATCAGAGGCAGATTTAGGGGAGCGCTACCAGTTTGGGACACGGGTGGTGCTGTGGGTTAAACCACTGAGCCTCTTGGGCTTGCTGATCGGAAGGTCGGCGGTTTGAATCCCCGCGACGGGGTGAGCTCCCGTTGCTCGGTCCCTGCTCCTGCCAACCTAGTAGTTCAAAAGCACGTCAAAGTGCAAGTAGATAAATAGGTAAGGTAAATGGCATTTCCGTGCGCTGCTCTGGTTTGCCAGAAGCGGCTTAGTCATGCTGGCCACATGACCAGCTCCCTCAGCCAATAAAGCGAGATGAGTGGCGCAACTCCAGAGTCGTTTGCTACTGGACCTAATGGTCAGGGGTCCCTTTACCTTTACCAGTTTACTTGCACTGGGCACAGAACCTCAGGGGCCCTGCAACTATTCTTTAGAGTGGATTGTGAGAGGTGGGAGCTACACCAAATTTGGGCATTGTACAAGATGCTCCTGAAATTTGAGAGCCCATGGTCCGCCACTGACTTTATGCCTTCTGTAGAATCAGAATTTGAGCTGCATTGTTCTGAAGTATTTCTTTGCAGCCAGTTTTCTCAGAGCATATCAAAGCACTTTCAACTGGAGGCGTGGCAGGGAGCATTAAATGCACATTTGCATTCCATGTGCAGGTTTTGAAAATTGCATCAGGTGTAGGTGTGTGCATGTGTGATGATAATTAATGTGATCAGAACAGGCACGGAGGGGAAATTAATTTTTTCCACTGCTATGGACCCTCTTCAGTGCTGACGAAGGAAGGGCATTCTACGCATTCTCAAAAACATTTTTGAATAAACAAAGTTTACTACTCCAGTTAGCATGGGGGCCATAGCTCTGCAGTAGAGGATCTGCTCTACATGCAGAAGATTCCAGGTTCAATTCTCAGCATCTTCCAGTAGGGCTGGGAAAGACTCCTGTCCGAAGCTCTGCACAGCTGCTGCTAGCCAATGAGCTAGGTCAGATATCTTCAGCCTTTTCCGACTCAGAACCAACATGCATTTGGGGACCCTTATTTCTGTCTTTTACCAGAGGCAGATTTAGGGGAGCGCAGCTGGTTTGGAGCTGCAACTATGATTTAGAATGGAGTATGAGAGGCAGAGGGGCACAAAATGTTGTCATTGCACATGCTGCTGTTGAAATTTGAAACCCCACTGACCATATATTTGCATGGTATTGGTGCTCCTGTTGCAATTCATCTTGGATCAGGCTGTGCCCCACTAGTGGGTTCTACCCTATCACTGAAAACCAGTGAGTTAGATGGACCAGTGGTCTTAGTATGAGGCAGCTTCCTTTGGATGATATTCAACTAAGTTTTACTCAGAGTAGACCCAGTGAAATAAATGAGCATGGCCAAGTTGGTTGAATACTATCTTATGTTCATAACGGTTCAGAGTTTAGCCTTCATGTTTCTTTTTCAAAGAAGCTGCAGAGCAGAACTTTGGTGAGCTCATAGACCAATTAAGGTCTCTTGTGCAAATGAAATTCCACCTAAAGGCAAGTTGTATGAAAGGAGCCCCACACAGTCAGAATCAATGCACACAGCTTAGATTGACAGCATTTTTATTATGGAGATGGCATGATATTGGAAAGACTTCAACACAAACACAAAAGTAAGACAAGTACTGTGGTGGTTTGATTACATTTATATTCCAGAAATACATCTCCTTTCCTTACAAGGAGCCATCAGTCATGAAGCCAATAAACTGATACAACCGCCATGTTTTCCTTTCTTAGGGTTCTTTTTCTTTTCATGGAGTTAGGTCAGACAGCCTTTCAAAGAGGATGCCTTGAGGTACAGGAATACCCTCCAACAGCTCTTCAAACAGGGACTGTCTTCTGTAAAAGTAAGATACATGGCCACTCTAGATACATGGCTTTAGAGCCCTGGCTCCTCTTTTCAAACCCATTTCCCCAACACTTAAGAACTGCTCACCCTGCTTTGATACAACAATGCTGCCTCAGCCCTGCTTCTTTTGGCAATGTCTTCATACTAAGCCTTGTCCTCGACAATGATGCTGTTCAGTTCCCGGTTTCAGTTCTTGTCTATTTGGAGAACGACAGAGGTGTCAGCAATGTGAGCCTTCAACTGGGCTATTTCCTACATGGGGGAAAAGTTGAAGAAAGAGTGCTTACCAAGGTGAAAGACTCCCACATCTCTACCACATTCAAGCACTGGTCCACACTGAGCAAGGAAACTTTGCAGCCTGAAGCTTATTTCAGAGATGGGGAACCTTTGGCTCTTCAGATGTTGCTGGACTCCAGCTGCCATCATCCTAGCCAGCATGCCCACGGGTCAGAGATTATGGGAGTGGTAGTCTAGCAATGTCTGGAGGTTTCCCCCATCTCTACTGTACTAGATGGAAAAGTGAAACCCCAGAACAGCCTTTCTCAACCTGTGGATCCCCAGATGTTGTTGAACTAGAACTCCCATCACCCCTAGCTAGCAAGGCCAGAGCTCAGGGATGATGGGAGTTGTAGTCCGACACTGGCGACCCACTGGTTGAGAACAGCAGCCCTAGAACAATCTGCAACCCTGCTTGGGGGAAAAAAGTCCTATTCTTGCTAATATTGAGGATGCAGTCACCTCAAGAGATTTCTTTGGTTCTTGGTTGGTTCGATGTCAGGCCTAACTTTGAATTTTGTCTATCCATTCATCTTTCAGTCCTGATTGTATTTTATTATGGCATCTGAGCAACATATTAAGTAAGAAACAAGATTTCAGTAGTGAGCAAGAGGTATACTTCTAGGGCAGCTTCTCTAGCAGAACAGCAAAGATGCTGTTGTAAAAATTGCTGAAATGGCAAAACTGATTTAGCAGTGCCGGGTTAAGCCCTGTAGAGACCGCATGGCAGTTGAAATTGCAGTCCACCCCCACTGTGCTCATGCTCTACTGAGATAGCATTGAACCAAGAAAGCTTGATTTCAATTTTCTATCAAGGTTTTTTTGATCTGTTGTCTCAGGGCCCCTAAAAGGCTTGGGGCCCATATGCCTATGCCTACACCGCCTATTTGGTACTCCAGCACTGTGATACAAAATAATAAAAGCCAGCAAAATACTGGGTATTTTGAAAGCCTATGGTTTCCTTCTATTCACTACTTTTAAAAACTACTTTTAAAAACTGCATTCATAGAAAGAAGGTTGGTGGAATTGTCTGGCTTTTGCTTGATGGCTTATTGCTTTTCTTTAAATCATATTTGATAAGTGTGTCTTTTTATTACAATATTTGCAACATTATTATATTGAGATGTATATTATTATTACTTTTGTTCTTTTTAAAATTTGAATGTTTTCTAAAAAGGAAGCAAAATCAGAATTCAGACCTGATCCACATGTTAGCACAAGAGTGTGTGAACTGATTTCTTGTGGTCTAGTTTCAAGGCCTTCCAGTAATACAGTGCTACCTCTGGTTATGTACTTAATTCGTTCCGGAGGCCCATTCTTAACCTGAAACTGTTCTTAACCTGAAGCACCACTTTAGCTAATGGGGCCTCCTGCTACCACCACACCGCCGATACACGATTTCTGTTCTCATCCTGAAGCAAAGTTCTTAACCCGAGGTACTATTTCTGGGTTAGCAGAGTCTGTAACCTGAAGTGTATGTAACCTGAAGTGTATGTAACCCGAGGTACCACTATACCTTGGTTCCCAAATGGCTTGGCTCCCAAACAAATCAGGCTCCTGAACGCAGCAAACCGTCGCAACGATCACTGTGGCCAGGTCGGGGCTAACAGGACCAGTGGTCGGGGATGATGGGAGTTGTAGTCCCAAAACATCTGGAGGGCCAGGTTTACCCATGCCTGCCTTAATGACATTGCTTTCTAGTGGACTTAGTTTATGGGTCCACTGCCAAGCATCATGCTCGGTAATTCCAAGATGCACACATGCTTATATTATCCAAGCTTGTGATGACCCTGGTCTACTCTCTCCATCCCTGTGTCCATTCCAATGTGGTACAGTGGTACCTCGGTTAAGTACTTAATTCGTTCCGGAGGTCCATTCTTAACCTGAAACTGTTCTTAACCTGAAGCACCACTTTAGTTAATGGGGCCTCCTGCTGCTGCCGCGCCACCGGAGCACAATTTCTGTTCTCATCCTGAAGCAAAGTTCTTAACCTGAAGCACTATTTCTGGGTTAGCGGAGTCTGTAACCTGAAGTGTATGTAACCTGAAGTGTATGTAACCCGAGGTACCACTGTACCTTGGTTCCCAAATGGCTTGGCTCCGAAACAAATCAGGCTCCTGAACTCAGCAAACCCAGAAGTAAGTGTTCTGGTTTGCGAATGTGCAACGCGGCTTCCACCTGAGTGCTGGAAGCTCCTGCAGCCAATCGGAAGCCGCACCTTGGTTTTCGAACAGTTCTGAGAGTTGAACAGACTCCCGGAACAGATTAAGTTTGAGAACCAAGATTCCACTGTATATGAAAAGAAGATTCATGCTAGCTGGACAAGTGATGCAATTCCTTCAAAGGCTAGTATAGTCATGTGATTTCTGCATTCACTCTGATGCACAGCTCCTTCCCTCTAGGATCAGGGTTGGGGAATCCTGTGGCTTTTCAGATAATGCTAGACTCCAGATGACATCAGCCACAGCTAGCATGGCCAATGGTGAGGGGTGATGGGAGTTGTAGTCCAACAATATCTGGAACGCCAGAGATTTCCCATCCTTGATTTAGACTTCAGCAGAGAAGTGTAGGATTGAGCCACAAGGAGCTGGTTTACTCTCTGTTAGGATGCCATCTGAGTAGAGCCCTAGAGATTGAACTTCTTGGTAGCAACCAATGCTTGGAGATGCAAAATGCAAACCAGAGCTGGTTTGGGCTCATCTTGCTAGACTCTTCTTTCTTTCTCCCTGAAAAGACTAGAAGGTGTTCTTACTTCTTCATAGAGATATCTCAAGAAGTTGATTTCATAAATCAGGGAATCCACTCCGGCTTGCAGCTCAACCTTGTTCATAAAGGAAGCATCCACATCCTGGAAAGAGAGAAAAAGATCAAAGGGCTGAACACCACAGCAGATGTGAGAGCCAAAACGAAACCGCAAGTTTCCCCTAAAAGTACAAGGGTTAAAGCATGCATTTGTTTAAAGCGGTGGCCCCATCACTCTGTGGCAAATGTGATGAAGTTACTGTTATGTATTCAGTGGTCTGTGTTTGCCTGAGCCTGAGTCTGAACTGAGGATTCTGAGCTCCTTTGCTCTCATTCGATACAGGATGTCCAATCACAGAACGTTTCAGGATTGGGGCCTCTGCCATTGGCCCTTGAACTCTGAGTTGTGATTCGCAACTTGGAAGTTTAGACAGCCAATCACGTTGGGAGTGGGAGTGGCCCAGGCTTTCAGAAATTTATATAAGCAGTTGCTTTGCCCCTGTTTCCCAGTTATGTAGTTCAGTCAAGGTTCTTGCCTCATGGAAACCCACTCACCTTCTTGAGCTCCACAAAATCATTTTCTGCACCTGTGCGCTTGTTGATCTCATCTTCATACCTGTTGGAGGGAGGGGGAAATTGAGTGACTCATTACCACTGGATGAGTGGGAGAAAAGACCTTCCCACCTATTTCACAGTCTCCTATCACCATCACCTGCCACATTAATCTTTGGGTCTTTCACCAGAATAATGTAGAAGGATGGAACCCATGTGCAAAAAAGTAGGCACATCCCTGTTTGAAGACTGATATTTGCTGAAGCTAAGAGTGATTATAATTCCTTTTATGATTTATGGTTTGCAATAAACATATGTTTTTTGTTTGTTTAAAACATTATTGTACTTGTTAAAGGTAAAGGTAAAGGTACCCCTGCCCATACAGGCCAGTCTTGACAGACTCTAGGGTTGTGCGCCCATCTCACTCTATAGGCCGGGAGCCAGCGCTGTCCGGAGACACTTCCGGGTCACATGGCCAGCGTGACAAAACTGCATCTGGCTAGCCAGCGCAGCACACGGAAACACCGTTTACCTTCCCGCCAGTAAGCGGTCCCTATTTACCTACTTGCACCCGGGGGTGCTTTCGAACTGCTAGGTTGGCAGGCGCTGGGACCGAGCAACGGGAGCGCACCCCGCCGCGGGGATTCAAACCGCCGACCTTTCGATCGGCAAGCCCTAGGCGCTGAGGCTTTTACCCACAGTGCCACCCGCGTCCCAATTGTACTGGTTAGTATTATTTTTATTTTGAATTGCACATGGTGGGCACCATAATCTTTTCAGTGTTTAGGGCCTCTAAAGGTCTTAAGTTGGCCCTGGTAAGAACACTCTCCATGCCCTTCTCCCTCTCTCCATGAATCTACCTCCTCGCCATCTGCCACCATCTGCTCCTTCTTCCTCCCCCATTGGTACCTGCCACCCGCTTGCTTTCCTGGCAAAGAGCCAATGAGCAAGTAGGCAGGGGCATCCACTGCTTCTCTCTCTCAGCACCTCCACCACCGTTTGGGCCAGAGTGCAAGGTGGGTGAATGCTGGCAGGTTGCAATGCTGAAGAAGAGGAGGAGGAGGTTCTGGGGCTTTTGTCATGGGTGGAGTTTGGGCCCCCAGAAGATGCCCAGCCAGGCTGACTTTTGACATGTGACCCAAAATAAATAAGATTTTCATCTGACTGAGATTTTGCTTCACATTTAGAGCATCGGCAGTCAGCTAAGGAGAAGACTGACAGACTCCTTTTCATTTGTCTATTTTACAGTCTTTTGCCTTCAGTCAGATTGCTGCAGTATGTGCAAGTAACTTAAAGCAGGGGTTTCAGTGTGGCTGCCCCTGTTGTGGAACAGCTTCCATCTTGAAAGACACCCACCACCTGCACTTTCCAGAAACAACTGTGTTCCAACAGACTTCCCTAACTGGATAAATGGGTCTTTGTCCTGACAGTCTAATTTGTATTGCGTGGACAGGCGGAGTCCCCAGATCCCGAGCGGTTCCCCCCCCCCCGTCATGTGGAATAACGACTCAAGACAACGTGCTATGGGATTAAATTGGCCACAACTTTATTAAATTTCAAATGTGGGTAGACCATGGCTCAGGCATTGGGGGTTCTCCCTCCCCAGTCCCCAGCCGGGGACCTAGGGAGCTTCAGGGTTATCCAATATGGGGGGGGGATGGGCCGGCTCTGGAGAACATATGTTCAAGCAGAGATAGCCGCCCCTGTTACGCCGCCGCCGCAGGGGAGAGCAATGATGACCTTTCGGCGTACGGCCAAAGCCTCCCTTCAGAAACCCCTTTAACGGGGAACCCTGGTATCGCCGCCACAAAGAGGAAGATGGACTAAAAGATTCTGCCCAAGGCCTGATACCGCCAAAGTTGTGACGTTTTTGCTACGGGAAAGGCGAAACCTGCCAATGCAGGGAAATTCCTTTCCGGCCCTTTAACAGCGACCTTATCGTAGCAGCGCCTGCATACCTGTGAAGAAAAGTTAACCTGTAAAACCTATGAAGAAAAGTTAACCTGCAAAAGATGACATTAACTGAGGGTGGGTAGGGTGGGAGAAGCTCTGGAGCCAAGTGAGGATTCCCAGGTAAGATCCTCCCTCTATTGTGTGGGCAGGTAGTCCCTCCCCTACCTGGCCTGGTCTCCTTGGCAACGCTTCCCCCAGGTGGGATTGGACAACTGACTGAGGTAGGCGGAGACCTCCAGGTATCCCACCTGGGGGAAGGCGAAGCCAAGCCTGTGTTGATGGAGCCGCTCTAGATCCAGGGCTGCGCGCGCCCACGCAAAGGGCGCCCCCCGTTTTAAGCGGGGAGCGGTCATTGTCTTCTTTTAAATGTGTCTGCTGTTGTGATGCTCTAAACTAGTTGGGATTTTTTTGTTTGTGTTTTTAACTGCACACCCCCTTGAGATAATTGTGCAGAAGTTGATTTATAAATTAATTGTGGTTATGATAGAATTGTAAATGTGGAAGGGACCCCAAGGATCATCTAGTCCAACCCCCTACCATGCAACAATGATGATGATAACAATATTAATAATTTTACAATACCCACCTTATCTTGAAGTCCTCCACAGTATCCTGCATGTTCAATTCCATGTCTAATTGTGGTCTCTGTCCCGTAATATTATCCTGTTCTCTTCTTATATTACTGATGTATGACTCAAATAAAATTTCAAGGCCATACCCGGTGGTCTTTTGCTCCTGCAAGAGGCTCCAATTGGTCTCTAGCATTTGGTTCTGTTGCTCCAGGAAACGGACCTGAATGTATCCCACCAAGACAAAAATATGCTGAATGTTGGCATCGTGTACAGACAAAACAGAATATGGGTTGCTAAGCTATACCACCTTCAAAGGAGGTAATATCCTGACATCTTTCCCTTCTGTTTTTAAATAGATTGCAAGAAATTGCCACAGCAAATACTTTACATAGAAAATGTTACAGGAAGCTGGCAGTTGTACCTAATGAGTTAGTATTAATAGCAGCTCAAAGTGTGGTTAGTATCAAATGATTCATAAGGTCCAGGAACTTTGCAGATGGTGGATACAGTGGTACCTGGCAAGACGAATGCCTCGCAAGACAAAAAACTCGCTAGACGAAAGGGTTTTTTGTTTTTTGAGCTGCTTCGCAAGGCGATTTCCCCTATGGGCTTGCTTCGCAAGATGGAAACGTCTTGCAAGTTTGTTTCCTTTTTCTTAACACCATTAATACAGTTGCGACTTGACTTCGAGGAGCAACTCATAGAACGCGGTGTGGTAGCCTTTTTTGAGGTTTTTAAAGACTTTGGTGATTTTTGAAGCTTTTCCAAAACTTTCCCGACACCGTGCTTCGCAAGATGAAAAAAATCGCAAGACGACAAAACTCGTGGAACGAATTAATTTCGTCTTGCGAGGCACTACTGTAAATGGAAAGATATAGGAATGAAACCGGGAAGTGTTATCTTTTGACACATGCATCTTATTGTGTCTATTGGTTGCTTAAAAAAAAAAAAAAAGCATGGTGAAGTTTGGGCTCTCAGCTGCCGGTACGTACCAAGCAGTGGAGTCTGATATCTTGCACGGCTACCTGGTCTTTCAACTACAACCTCCATCTTTATTCATGTTCTCATTTCTTCCTAGCAATCCCATGCTAAATTCTCATTTACTCTTCACATATTGCATAAGTGGGTACAGCATTTTAAGAGCTTGAGCTATGAACTGGAAGCACCTTGTTCAAATTTCATCATCTCTAGGTCTTTCTCACAAGACAAGCAAAGGCTGAACACTATGCAAGGCACACAAAGCTATCTAAACATTTTCCATTGTTTTAGCTGAAGAACCAGACCTTCAGTGTTAGAGAATTTGATCTTGCATCATGTGCCAATGCACTACACCAGGAGAATGAAACTGGATCCAACTACAGCAGGTGTGCGGAGCCTTTGGTTCCCATTATACCCAGCTGCCATTGTTCATAACCAGGGATAATGGGCTTTGTAGTTCTTCCCCATCTCTGACTAACCATCAGGAAAGGATCCATGATGTGAGAGCAAGGATGCCCTACAAATACAGTGGTACCTCGGTTTTCAAACTTAATACGTTCTGGAAGACCGTTTGAGTTCTGAAATGTTTGAAAACCGAACAATCAATACGGAAAACTCAATACGGAAGCCGCATGGCATGTTCGACTTCCGAGACATGTTCAAAAACTGAAGCATTTACTTCTGGGTTTACAGCGTTCGAAAACCAAAATTTTCATCAACAGAGACTTTTGAAAACCGAACTACCACTGTACACGGCTGTGTCTATTTCTAGCAATGAAATGTTGGTAGGATATAGAAAGCAGGGAAAGAAATAGCTGCCCTATATGGTCTGTAGAGCTTGTTTAAACGGTAGCAGGAAGAAACTTGTTTTAAAGTAGCGTAAAGTTTTTAGGATGGCATCAAGAGAGAAACTTACCTTATCAGTGAAGGAGTCAAAGTTGTTGTTGAGTGTCTTGATCTGCTCCTTCTCTTCCTTCCTCACCTTCTGGATGGTGGGGTCAATCTCCAAGTTAAGAGGCGCCAGGAGATTTGGGTTGATGGTAACCTCATGGATGCCACCTGTGCCAGCTCCATAGCCACCACCACCTCCTAAGCCATAGAGGCTTATGCTGCCAAAGCCACCACTGACACGTCCAAAGCCTGCACCACCTCCCCAGGAGACCGAAACCATGCTAAAGCTAGTTCAGCCACCTGGGATAACAGCTGAAGATGTGCTAAAATTCTCCTCAGGGCAAGAAGGGGAAACAGAGAGAGACAGAGAGAGATGAGAAAAGACTCCTGGACAGCCAAGGTGAAAGGATCCTCTGGGATGCTCACGCGTTCCCCCTTTTTATCTCATTGGAGAGCTGGGTTTGGCAGCTGGAGATCACAGGTAATTGGCCTAAATCAATCTCTTTGGTATGTCTGGCATGAGGCCTTTTCCATTATTTTCATCACTTCATGTACCTAACGTAATGTCCTGACGACTTGTAAAACTGGCAAGTGGAATTTCCTAACCCTGTGTCTTGCCCAATGCATGATGGTTCTTTTAAAATTAGATTCAGAAGCAATACAAAGGCAAGTGGGTGAGAAGATTACAGTTTTTCTTCTGAACAGTAAGTAAAATAAACATTACCAAGCAGCACTTAAATCTGCCAATGAAATGCCCTGAAGAAGCATCAAAGCGAATCCCAGGTAGCCTTCGATGCATAGCACTGGGTCCAACAGTCTATGCTGAACTTCTGAACTTCTATGCTCCAAAACTAGATATTTTATAGATGCTGGCTCAGCTATGAGCCACCCTGCCCTACATCAAAGACACATACTGGCCACTGCATGTTTTTAGCCATTTGCCACCAGACGACACACCAAAGGCAACCATCAAAGACTTTTCACAAGGGATAGAATAGGGAGGTAATAAACATAGGTAAAGGGATGTGGGTGGCGCTGTGGTCTAAACCACTGAGCCTCTTGGGCTTGCCGATCAGAAGGTCACTGGTTCAAATCCCCGGGACCGGGTGAGCTCCCATTGCTCGGTCCCTGCTCCTGCCAACCTAGCAGTTTGAAAGCACATCAAAGTGCAAGTAGATAAATAGGTACCGCTCCGGCAGGAAGGTAAACGGAGTTTCCGTGTGCTGCTCTGGTTCGCCAGAAGCTGCTTAGTCATGCTGGCCACATGACCCGGAAGCTGTACACCGGCTACCTTGGCCAGTAAAGCGAGATGAATGCCACAACCCTAGAGTTGTCTGCGGCTGGACCTAACAGTGAGGGGTCCCTTTACCTTTAAATAGAGCCAGGAAGAGATAGACAGGAAGAGTTGACCATGTCAGATCACTATCTCATCGAAATTCTTCCAGAATAATTATCCCATAGAAGCCTGCAGTTCAGAGTGCTGGAGTTTCCTAAAGGCATTGCTTTTAACTTCATATAAATTAACAAGTGACTTTTTCGTCTTTGAACATGATGGGAATAGAGCTATCTGAAGCTCAGTAAGAGCTGCTGAGGCAGCTGCCTTGAGAATGATTCTCAACTAGGCACATTTTCTCTTTCTTTCTTTTCTTTCTTTCTTTCTTTCTTTCTTTCTTTCTTTCTTTCTTTCTTTCTTTCTTTCTTTCTTTTTGACATTCCTGTGGTCTTCCTTCGTCAGGTGCAACACCCATTGTGAAGTCATTGATACCACAAGTGAGGACCCATATACTCAAGTTTGTCACTGGGAGAAACAGGAGGTGCTCATATTGCAAAGTGTTGATTATCGCAATGTGTTATACGTAGGGCTCCCTCTGGAGATGGTTTGGAAACTTCAGTTAGTGCAGAATTCAGCAGCCAGGTTGCTCACCGGGGCAAAATGCTTTGAGCATACTACACTGATCCTGGTCTGACTGCACTGGCTACCAATTAGTTTCCAGGCCCAATTCAAACTGCTGGTTTTGACCTATAAAGCCTTACACTGCTCAGGACCGCAATACCTCAAGGTACTGAGGTATAGCGCCTCTCTGCATTTGGACCTACCTGGGCTCTGAGATCATCCTCTGAGACCCTTCCTCACGTGCCTTTTCCATGAGAGGTTTGGAGGGTGGCAACAGAAAAACGGGCCTTAAAGCAAGTTGTATGAAAGGAGCCCCACACAGTCAGAATCGATGCACACAGCTTAGATCGACAGCAGTTTTATTACGGAGATGGCATGAAATTGGAAAGACTTCAACATAAACACAAAAGTATACAAGTGCTGTGGTGGTTTGAGTACAATTATAGACCAGAAATACATCTCCTTTCCTTACAAGGAGCCATCAGTCATGGAGCCAATAAACTGATATGACCCTTTTGCTTATTCCAGGTGATTCTGCTACATATTGATTATGCAAAGATCATTCTGGTGTTGATACTTGTTTCCAGGCTCTTATACATAATGGCATAACATTCTGGGGAAATTAATTGACCCAAGGCCAAGGTAAAGCCAGCTAAGCTGTCGACGTGTTATTGTTTTGAAAACAGCAACAAAGAACACAAAAGAATTCTACTATTTTTACTGCAAACACTGAAACAATTTCTTCATTTTTTCCTGATTTCTGCTTCCTAATCCCAAAGTTGTTAGAAAACCGAGAATGTTTTCAGTGAACCACTGAAACACGTTTGTCTTCTATAAGATTCGAAACAAGGTAATAAATTGCTGTTTATAACTATATGAGTGAGAACGCAGGAAAGGGGGATGTGAGGAGGTCCAAAGATTATGGAAATATGATTTATGGATAAATTGATTTTTATGTATCTTTTTTTCTTTCTCTTCTATTTATGTTTACTTTCTAAACTTCTTTTGTTCTTCTTTTTTTGTCTTGTTGTATGGTGATAGTATTGTACATGTTTGTTGGCTTCTCTTTTGTTTAAAATTTGCAATAAATATTATATATAAAAAAAATGAAACACGTTTGTCTTTGGAAGAGCATTCAAATTTCCCAAATTTTATATAGATAGGGTTTGTGTTTTCTGCATTATTCCAGAGAAAAACCTTCCAATAAAAATGTTCATGGACCCAATATGTTTTATGGAAACCAAAATTACAAATGACAATCCTTCTTTATTTCCTCTGGAAGGTATTTCACATGGAAAGAATGAACGTCATCCCATGATGGTTGGCTTTTATGCAGCATTACCCAATCACTCTTAAGGGTAAAACTAAATATGGAAAGGGAAATCCACTACTTGATTTCCTGATTATATTTTAATGACTACATTAAGGGGGAACTGAATCAGGTTTACAGTGTAGAGGGAAGTGGTTTAAGCCTTTAACATTTGCCCTGCAACTCTTCCGCCACACGCACACACAAGAAAGTATTGTTAGCTATAGAAGGAAACAAGACCACAGGTCCCCATCCCATTAATTTGTCAGAAGAAACATACATATTATGCCCATTATTTTCAGAAAGTAATGAGTTGCTTTTATTAGGGGACAATTAATGCATTAATGCATTATAACGTCAATGTGTACTTTATGGCAGATGTGAAAATTAAAAATGTACTTAAAAAACATATGGTTAGCTAATGAAAAGCACAGTAAATGGTAATGGCAGAACTGCGTGATGCACAGTGAAATATATAGAATAGACAGATGCCCTGTGTGTGTTCTCCAATCCTGATACCTATGGAGAACAGATCTCACATCTTTTGATAGTCAGAGTGGGAGGAAGAGTAAATGGCAGAGGTATTACATAACTACATCAGTGCAATGCATGAGTGGTGATGAAGTAACTAAGAATATCAGTTATATTTTCATATCGTAAATCTGAATTGACCACTGCATGGCAACCCTAGCAGATGCAGCCCCATCTGTGCTATCCATTTAATCAGTGTTGTGTCACTGTAGACAGTCATGGCTTTCCCCTGGAAACTGTGGGTTTTTTAAGGGTGCTGCGAATTGTTGGGAGACACGTATTCTCCTCACAGAAATACAATTACCAGAGGGGTTTAACAAGCAACCCATCTTCCCAGGGAACTCTGGGAGTTCAGGGAGGGCCACAGCTCAGCGGCTTTGCATGCAGAAGATACCAGTTTCAACCCAGATAGGGCTAGGAATATCTCCTAACAGAAACTCTGGAATTGTGGGTGTAAAATTTGCCATTGAGAAGCTGTTAATAAGCACTTTAGATCACCTGTAATGTCTGGTAAGAACTGCTGGATCAGGAAGATCGCACAATGAAAATGCAAGCGGTGTTCTCATTACTTCATCTCTCATGCACTGCATTGATATACCTGCGTAGATCTCCCTCTTTTCTCTCTCCATCCCACTCTGTATTTCTCCCTTCCAGCTTGTTCACTGAGTGGGACCCATCACTCTTATGTCTAGTTTGCCCCTGCGAGTCAGCCTTGCCTAATTTGACTACTTCCAGGGATGGGGGAACTGGTGGCCCTCCAGTTGTTGGACTTCAACTCCCATCAGACCTCACTGCTGGCTGTACCGGATGGGAGTTGGAGTCTAGCGACACCTGGAGGACCACAGGTATCTCCACCCCTGACTTAGCCAAGGATGCCTTTAGTTCTGGTAGCTCTTTCTGGTGGTGGAGGTTTTCGACACAATCTTCATACTGGAGCTGCTACCCCGGGCTGAACTCATGCTCCCAGATAGCGCCTTGCCACCAGCAGAGGTGAAACTGCTGCCTCCAGTGCTGAGGCCTCCTCCGTAGCCAAGGCCGACGCCGCCTGCAAGGCCCATGGCACTTCCACCGCCGTAGTTCATGCCTCCAGATGAATGGACCACAGCTGTAAATGGACCAGAGGAGAAGTTCAGGGTTCATGGGTTAAAACATCTGAGGAACATCAAAGAAGGCATAAGGAATTCCACAACCTAATATTTCTGTATTGATACGGTAACTATGCATTTCTTTGGGTATATTTTTTGTTGCTGACAAAACATTTGATCCTTTATTTCTTTAGATCAGTGGTGAGAGGTAATTACCCGTATTTTTCGCTCTATAACACGCACCTGACCATAACATGCACGTAGTTTTTAGAGGAGGAAAACAAGAAAAAAATATTCTAAACGAAACAGTGGATGTATGATTTTTGTGGTTCATGCTGTGGCCACAGACGTGATCTGACGGTGAGTTTGGGGTAGCCCAATGCAAAAATCCTGAGGATCCATGTGGATCCATGCTTTGTAACCACGTTTTTGTGCCATTGTGGCCCCATGAAACAGTGGGTACGTGTGTGTTTTTTGGTGCAGGCTGTAGCCATGGACATGCTATGTGATCTGATGGTGAATTTGGGGTACCCGGTGCAAAAATCCTGAGGATCCATGTGGATCTGTGCTTTGTAACCATGTTTTAAGTGGGGAGGGAAGGAAAAGAAAAGCACCCAAGGGACAAGGAGCACGCGTGAGGTGTGTGGAGAAGGATGCTGCTAATAATGTAGGAGAGGGGTTTAAGGGGAGAAGGCTCCTCTCCTCTCCCGCTTTGCTCCTTTAAAACAAGCAGGCTCTGCTTCTCTCCCTCCTCCCCGGCTCGGCAGCTGCCGAAACACTCACACTCACACTCACACTTAAAGATAATTAAAAGCAACGCGCTAAGACAAACAAAGGAAACCACGATAGTAACCACTCTGAGACAAATGAAGAAAAATTGCGACCAACACTCTCCCCCAACAAGCACAGTGAGGTGAAAACACACACACACACGCAGAGAACCGGCCCTAAAGTCGCAGGGGCGCTGGGAGAGTGAACAGGAAGCAAGAGAAGGAGAACGATCCCTCACACACACACACACACACACAGCCCCTACAGTGGCTAATCCAAAATCAGACAGCAAAAAACTGCAGGCAGGGACAGAGAGCACGGGGTTGTTTTAAAGCAGCCAACCGGACAGGAGCCGCTTACACTCATGTAAGCGGCTCCTCTCCTCTCCTGCTCTGCTTCTCTCCCTCCTCCCCAGCTGGGCTCGCTGACAGGAGCCGCTTACACCCGCTTTGCTGTTTCAAAGCAAGCCATGGACTGCTCACAACTGCAGCAGATTCCCCCGCCATCTGTAGGCATTCACTCCATAACACGCACAGACATTTCCCCTTACTTTCTAGGAGGAAAAAACTTCGTGTTATGGAGCGAAAATTACGGTAATTAGAGGATTGTGAGTTTCTGGGATTCACTTGCTTATTACTTACAGATATTTACAGCGCCAACTCCCTCTCCAGCAAGCCTGTTAAATGAGAGAGCAAAGGAAATTACTTTAATTGTTATGATCCAGCAGCTTGGGGGGAAATAGCAGTGGTTCAAATACAATTCTGCAGAGCTAATAACTGCCAGTAAGACCACTATTCTATTCAAGAGCATTAAGGCATTGGCAAGGCTTTAGTTTTCTGTGCACAGAAAAATCCCATTGGAAGCTGCAAACTTTTTTTCTCATTTACAACTTGCTTTCCATGTGCAGGAAATGATCAATAGAATGAGGACAAGCAATCCTGTCTTTTCCCCATCACCACCACAACAAAGTGATAGAGCAAAATGGTCTTTGGGGCTGTGGTATCCCAAGGGGATACCAACTCTCTGCCAAGCAGTCTTAAGGGGCTGCTTGGCAGAGAGTTGTCTGGTGGGGGCCCAGAAGCCACAGTTGCAGCTGCCATCTTCATTTTCCAAACTGCAGTGCCCAGGAAGTTCCATTTTCCAATGGCAGTGTGAGTTTAAAGAAAACCATGGCAGCTACCACAAACCCATGGCAGTATTCTTAGACTTCAACTGCAAACTCCAGCCAGAATAGAGGCCTCAGCATCAGCAAGGGACCCAGTGACTGTGAGAGGATTCCAGGTGGTGATGATAGGCCTGGGCACCCACCTGCTAAACTTCTCCTCTTCCCAGAAGGCTGGCCCAAAAGTTTGCTTTAGCTTTCAGAGCCCATCATCATAATGTAAACATTGTATCTGGGACCACTGGTCAACAGAGGACTGTATTAGATATGTGTGTTGTAGTTTTGACTGCTGTGGAGTGGCCCTCTAGATGTTGTTGAACGAAAACTCCCATCATCCTTGACCACTAGCCAATCTGGTGGGGACTGATGGGAACTGGAGTCCAATGACATCTGGAGGACCACAGTTCCTCCATCCCTGGGTGATACCTTGGTTGGTAAGAAGCCTGGTGGAGATCAAAGAGGAGGATGGGGTCTGTCCCCACCAAGAGAGGGTCTTTTTCCACTGGCAGTCTAGCGGTGCATTTCACACTTCACCCCAGCCCACTTGGGTTCCACCAACCTGCTCTCCTCCCCTTCCAGCAGCTTCCTATAGGTGGCGATCTCAATATCCAGGGCCAGTTTGACGTTCATGAGCTCCTGGTAGTCCCGAAGCTGGCGAGCCATGTCCGCCTTGGCCTTCATTAGCGCCTCCTCCAGTTCGGCCAACTTTATCCTGGCATCTTTAAGGGCAAGTTCTCCACGCTGCTCTGCATCGGCAATGGCTGCCTGCAGGCTGGCACACTAGGGGAAGAAGAAAAGGCAATGTTCTCAGCTCGGAGCAACTTAGGATAATTTAACTAGAATTAAGTAAAATATCTGGATCCACAGTATTGTCATCAGCATTTGAAGACTGGTGCAAAACAAGCTTATTTTACTTCCCTCTAAGTCCACCCCCCCCCCCATAGCTGCCACTGCCCCTTGCCAGCTTTGCCATGAAATACTCCTTTAGTTGAAATTTTCAGCAGCCCTGCATGGCAGTACCTGTTTTTTCACATTGTCGATCTCGGAATGGAGTCGTTGGATCATGCGGTTCAGCTCGGAGATCTCAGTCTTTGTATTGCGCAGATCATCTCCGTGCCTTCCAGCGGAAAGCTGCAATTCTTCATACTGAGAGTCAAAAAAGGGGGAAAATTATTTAGATTACTGAAGTGCAAACTTTGATGGAGGGAAACATAGGGTGGCCACTTTTAAATTACCAAAAAGAGAGCAAATGCATCATCCCTTCCTCAAAAAAGGAAAAAAAACTCCAAAGAGGAGAAAGGAGGACACAGATTTGCATAAAATGTGCACATGTATACTTTGGATCTCATACTTTGGATCTCAAATGGCTTAGGTGCCAAATGTTTCGGCTCCCAAACAATAAAAAACCGGAAGTGAGTGTTCCAGTTTTCGAATGATTTTCGGAAGCCAAACATCCGGCGTGGCTTCTGTGGCTTCTGATTGGCTGCAGGAAGCTCCCGCAGCCAATTGAAAGCTGTGCCTTAATTTTTGAATGGTTCCAGGAATTGAACGGAATCTCGAAATGCATCCTGTTCAACAACCAAGGTACGACTGTAGATGTAAATTTAGACATAATATATACAGGTCAAATAGGAACACAATACATCTCCCCATATTGGGAAGGCAGTGAGCGGGTGACCTTCATGTCTGCTCAGTCTGCTGCCCAGCTGCTCACTGGTGATGGGCAACTTCAAGATCCTCCATGTTTTCCTTTCTTAGGGTTCTTTAGCTTTACATGGAGTTAGATCAGACAGCCTTTCAAACAGAGGATGCCTTGAGGTACAGGAATATCCTCCAACAGCTATTCAAACAGGGACTGCCTTCTATAAAAGTAAGATACATGGCCACTCTAGATACAGGGCTTAAGAGCCCTGGCTCCTCCTTTCAAACCCATTTCCCCATCACTTAAGAACTGCTCACCTTGCTTTGATACCACGATTCTGCCTCAGCCCTGCTTCGGTTGGCAATGTCTTCATACTGAGCCTTGACCTCAGCAATGATGCTGTTCAGGTCCAGGTTTCGGTTGTTGTCCATTTGGAGAACGACAGAGGTGTCAGAAATGTGGGCCTGCAACTGGGCTAATTCCTACATGGGGGGGAAATGAAGAAAGGGAGCTTACCAAGATGAAAGACTCCCACCTCTCAAGCACTGGTCCACACTGAGCAAGGAAACTTTGCAGCCTGAAGCTTATTTCAGAGACGGGGAACCTTTGGCTCTTCAGATGTTGCTGGACTCCAGCTGCCATCATCCTAGCCAGCATGGTCAAGGGTCAGAGATTATGGGAGTGGTAGTCTAGCAATGTCTGCAACCCTGCTTGGAAAAAAATACGCCCAATTCTTGCTAATATTGAGGATGCAGTCACCTCAAGAGACTTCCTTGTTGCTTGGTTGGTTACATGTCAGGCCTAACTGTTTGTATTTTGTCTATCCATTCATCTTTCAGTCCAGATTGTATTTTATTATGGCATCTGAACAACATATTAAGTAAGAAACAGTTTGAATTAAGCTGGATTCTGTTAACAGGTCCCAATATTTCAGTAGTGAGCAAAAGGTATACTTCTAGGGCAGCTTCTCTAGCGGAACAGTGAAGACGCTGCTGGAAAAATTGCTCAAATAGCAAAAATGATTGAGCTGTGCCGGATTAAGCCCTGTGGAGGCCGGAGGGCAGTTGAAATTGCAGCCCACCCCCCTTATGCGCATGCTCTACTGGGATAGCATTAAACTAAGAAAGCTTGATTTCAATTTTCTTTCAAGATCAAATCAAGATTATTTTGATCCGTTGTCTCAGGGGCCCTAAAAGGCTTGGGGCCTCTATGCTGATTTCCAGATAATGCTAGACTCCAGATGACATCAGCCACAGCTAGCATGGTCGATGGTGAGGGGTGAGGGGAGTTGTAGTCCAACAATATCTGGAACGCCAGACGTTTCCCATCTCTGACTTAGACTTCAGCAGAGTAGTATAGGATTGAGCCACAAGGAGCTGTTTTCCTCTCTGTTAGGATGCCATCTGAGTAGAGGCCTAGAGATAGAACTTGTTGGTTGCTTAAAAATTCAAAATGTCAACCAGAGCTGGTTTTGGTTCATGTTGCTACAGTCTTCTTTCTTTCTCCCTGAAAAGACTAGAAGGTGTTCTTACTTCTTCATAGAAAGCTCTCAAGAAGTTGATTTCATCAGCTAAGGAATCCGCTCTGGCTTGTAGCTCAACCTTGTTCATAAAGGAAGCATCCACATCCTGGAAAGAGAGAAAAAGACCAAAGGGCTGAACACCACAGCAGATGTGAGAGCCAAAACGAAACCACAAGTTTCCCCTAAAAGTACAAGGGTTAAAGCATGCATTTGTTTAAAGCAGTGGCCCCATCACTCTGTGCCAAATGTGCTAAAGTTACTGTTATGTATTCAGTGGTCTGTGTTTGCCTGAGCTTGAGTCTGGACTAAGGATTCTGAGCTCCTTTGTTCTGATTTGATACACGATGTGCAATCACAGAACGTTTCAGGATTGGGGCCTCTGCCATTGGCCCTTGAACTCTGAGTTGTGATTCGCAACTTGGAAGTTTAGACAGCCAATCACGTTGGGAGTGGGAGTGGCCCAAGCTTTCAGAAATTTATATAAGCAGTTGCTTTGCCCCTGTTTCCCGGTTATGTAGTTCAATCAAGGTTCTTGCTGTTATCACTGTGTCTTGCCTCATGGAAACCCACTCACCTTCTTGAGCACCACAAAATCATTTTCTGCACTTGTGCGCTTGTTGATTTCCTCTTCATACCTGTTGGAGGGAGGGGGAAATTGAGTGACTCATTACCACTGGATGAGTGGGGGGGGGAAAGACCTTCCCACCTATTTCACAGAATTCTTTTAAAGTCTCCCTTCGCCTTCTGGCACCTGCCACAATAATCTTTGGCTCTTTCACCAGACTAAAGTAGAAGGATGGAACCCATGTGCAAAAAAGTAAGCACATCCCTGTTTGAAGACTGATATTTGCTGAAGTGAAGAGGAAAGTTTACACAAATTCCAAATTCAGCATAAGTACTTAAGATCCTTACTTGATCAGACCGGTGTCCATATAGCACAGCATAAATAGCAATCCATTTGGCTCCAGCAAGCCCACAAGAAACCCCCTCAGTTGTTTGTCTCCAACATTTCTGCTATATAAGATATATTGCCTCTGAACATGAAGGTTCCATTTAGGTAACATGGCTAATAACATTTCATAAACTAATCTTCCTGTGTGTTTGTTCACATCTGTCAGAGTTGCTTCAAGATCCTAGCTCACAGAGGATCACGCTAGCCAACGGTCATTTAGTAAAAGTCTTTATTGAGTTACAGTTTCCATTCTCAAGCTGCTGCGTGCAACTCTACGTCTAGTAGCTAGCTCGGCGAAGCTCCGTCTGAATCTCCGCCCCTTGTACACCAACTTAATATCTTAGCCCTGCTCCACCTTTTCCGCCTGACTGTTCTTCTCTGGGTCCCTCTGCCCCCCTGGGTCTCTTCCTTCCGGGATTCTTCTGACGCTGACCCCCCGGACCCTCCTGTCTCCTTGCGCCGGGCTTTAGGACCTGGCTCCCTTTCCGGGCTGCCTACTGCGCCGCCTTCCTGTGCATTTGAACTTGGCGCGCGCGCCCAACCTTCCACCTTCCGTCTAACCGTCTCTTCGCTCCCAGATGGAGGTGTGGCCACTCCTGACTCGTGCCCTCCCTCCTGTTGTGAGCTGCCAGCGCTTGCCCCCTGGCTCCCTTCCTCTTCCCTGTTCTCTGGCGGTGACGCTGGTCCCGATCTCCAACTGCTCTCCTCTGAGTCCCCTCTGGCTCTATCTTCCTGGGGTGCCCCCCTAAACTCCCCCCTTGCCCTGGCCACTGGTGCTCCTTTCTGTGAATCCTCCGATTCACTGGAAAGACTCGGAGATCTCGGGTCGTCGTCATCACTCATCTTTTCTTCTGCCTCCTCCCCTTCGCTCTCTGTTTCCTCCCTTGCCCTTGCCTCTGCTCCTGAACCCCTGACATCCATCCCCCCCTCGAAGCCCCCCACTCCCCCTTCCCCTCCTTCCGGTGCTGGAGCTGGGTGCTGCTGTGTCAAGGGGACGAATGTCGGGTACCGTTCGCTTCCCGTAGCGGGCCTCCATCCGAAGTCTTCCGGTTCTTCCTCCCTGCTCTCGTCGACGACGGTCACCTCTGCTTCCATCTCTGTGCCGCCGTGCTCGAAACCAGGGTCGTCCCCGAAAACGTCCATGTCCGTCTCTCCCTCACTTCCTCCTGGCGGCGTTGCTCGTCCTGGACCTTCTTGCCACTTCCTGCGCCACTGCTCCTCTGGTCTGTCGTCCCACCAATACGAGGGTTCTGAGGCAGATCCCGAGGGTGACCCCTCCTGGGAACGGACGTCTCGTGTCGGGTCCTCGTCCGAGTCGAACCCCCGGAACGTGCTGGCCGAAAGCGTGGGCGTGAAAAGCCAGTCGTCGAAAAAGTCTGCTGGCATTGGTCTATGTGGGAAGAGGGCATGAAACTCGTCTTTGAGCAGAGGTTCGTCCAAGGCGTAGCCCGGCACCCAGCTGTTCGCACTGGCCGGGGTGCCCTCCTTGGCGAGAAAGTATTCTACCCCTTCTTCCCCCCATCTGGAATCCAAAATTTCTGTGACTTCGTTGATGCGCTCCTTCTGTGCCACTCCTGCGTGCCCTGTTCTGTCTCTGACCGGACTCGGCGCCGTTCCGGGTTCCTGAAACCTGTGCGGTGCCTTGTAGGGAGTGAGCACCGATCTGTGGAACACCGGATGCATTCTGGAACCCTCCGGAAGCGCCAGCCTGAAGGCCACCGGGTTGACCTGCTCTTCGACTTGATAGGGCCCCAGTTGCTTATGCCCTAGTTTCTTCTTGGCCAACGACCTGGCCGGCACTGCGTGGGCTGCTAACCAGACCCAGTCTCCCACGTGGAGCTCTTCGCCAACCCTTCTGCGTTTGTCCGCTTGTACCTTGTATGCGTGCTTGGCCAGCTCCAGGTGGCGCCTCAGCTGATCGTGGACTTCCTGCAGCTCCGACGCGAACGCATCTGCCGTCTGCGGCTCCCCCTCCCCCAGCCTTTCCAGTCCCGGGAAGGTTCTGGGGTGCCTCCCGTTGTTGGCGAAGAACGGCGTGACCCCCGTGGACACGTGCTTCGTGTTGTTGTAGGCGAACTCGGCGAGCGGCAGGTAATCCACCCACGTCGCAGGCTGTTGATTTGCATAACACCTCAAGTACTGCTGCATGATGGCATTGACCCGCTCCGCTTGCCCGTTGGTCTGCGGGTGTCTCGCCGACGCCAGGTTGATCTTGACGTTCAGGAAGCCCATCAGCTTCTGCCAGAAATTCGAGATGAACTGCCGCCCCCGGTCGGACAGAATAGACCGTGGCAGACCGTGAACCTTGAACACGTGGTCTATGAACAGTTTGGCGGTTTGCTCCGCCGTGGCCACCTTCGCACACGGAATGAAATGTGCCATCTTGGAAAACAGGTCCACCACCACCAGCACTGCCGTCTTGCCCCTCGAGCTGGGCAGATCCGTGACAAAGTCCAGGGCCACTCTCTCCCAAGGTTCGACCGGAGTTTGCAGCGGTTCCAACAGTCCGGCCGGCGGTCTATGCACTGGCTTCGCCCTCTGGCAGGTGTCACACCTCGCCACGTAGTCCGCGACCTCCCCTCTCATTCCAGGCCACCAGAAATCCCTGGCGACTAATTCCACCGTCTTCTCCTTGCCGAAGTGCCCGGCAGTGGGCGCGTCGTGCAGCTGCTGCAGCACCTTGGCGCGAAGTTCGTCTCCCGGCACGTAGATGGCCCCTTTACGGATGAGCAATCCATCTCTTAGCTGGAAACCGTCGGCCGCTGCCTTGCCCCTTTGCACCTCTGCCATCTTTGCTTGTGCGAAGGAGTCCCCCTGCAACGCTCGTCGCACCGCCTCCAGGTCCACGGTTGCCGCGGCGCACGCCCACACTGTTGGTGCGAAGATGTGCATGGCGGCCGCTGGCGTTGCGTCCTCCAGATACTGTGGCTTACGAGAGAGAGCGTCCGCCATGATGTTGGTGTCCCCCGGGACATACTCTATTCGGAAGTCGAAGTTCGCAAAGAACTCAGCCCAACGTATCTGCCTCTGGTTCAGGAACTGTGCCGTGCGCCAGTGCTCTAGGTTCTTGTGGTCCGTGCAAACCTGCACCGTGTGCTTGGCGCCGATCAGAAAGTGCCTCCACGCCTTGAACGCTGCATGAATGGCCAGCAACTCCCTGTCCCATATGGTGTAGTTCTGCTCGGACTTGCTGAGCTTCCTGGAGTAAAACGCTCCCGGTCGCCACACCCCCTGCGGGTCTTTCTGTAGCAGGACCGCCCCCACGGCTCTGTCCGAGGCGTCTGTCTCCACCCTCATCGGCTTGCTGGGGTTGACATGAAGCAGCTGCTCTTCCGACGCGAAGAGACGCTTGAGTGCCTGAAAGGACTGTTCCGCCTGCTCTGTCCAAATGAACTTCTTTTTCTTGGAGCTAAGCGTGTCAGTGATGGCCGCCGTCTGCATAGCGAAGCCCTTGATAAACTTGCGATAGAAGTTCGCAAAGCCGACAAACCGTTGGACCTCCTTCCGGTTGCGCGGGCTCTTCCAATCCAACACCGCTCGAACCTTGGCGCTGTCCATGGCGAGCCCCTTGTCAGACAGCTTGTAGCCCAGAAAATCCACCTCCGTCACGTCAAATTGGCACTTCTCCAGCTTGGCGTAGAGCCTATGTTGCTTTAGCCTGTTCAGCACTTCCTTGACGTGTTTGTCATGCTCCTGTTGCGACTCCGAAAAGATCAGGATGTCATCTAAGAAACAGACGCACGTCTTGTAGAGAAGTCCCGCCAACACGTGATGCATGAATGCTTGAAAAACGTGGGAGCCATTTTGCAATCCAAAAGGCATAACTCTATATTCGTAGGTCCCCAGTGGCGTGAACATGGCTGTTTTCCACTCATCTCCCTCCCGCATGCGAATGAGGTTGTACGCCCCTCGCAGGTCCAACTTGGTGAACACTCTGCCCTTCCGCACCTTTGCGAGTAGGTCGTCAATTCGGGGCATGGGGAAGTCCGATGGCTTAGTCACACTGTTCAAAATCCTGTAATCCACTACGAGTCTCTTTTGGGGCGTATCCCGCTTCTTAACGAAGAACACCGGACTGCCTCCCGCCGCCTCGGACTCTCGGATGAAACCGCGCTCCAAATTATGATCTATGAACTCTTTGAGTTCTTGCAGTTCGTCCTCTGACATGGAATACAGTCTCCCCTTAGGCAGCGCCGCCCCTGGCAGCAGGTCAATCTTGCAGTCATATGGCCTGTGAGGGGGTAGCCTGTCTGCCTCCTTCTCGCAGAAAACTTCCAAAAATTCTGCGTACTTGTGGGGAATCGCTTGCAGCGTGCCTAGCAGCAGCTGTGACTCCTCTTCCTCTCCTTCCTGCCTGGGCATGATGCAGTGTTCAGCACAAAAGGAAGAGCCGAAGGTCAGCTGCCTCTGGTACCAAGCCAGCGTTGGGCTGTGCTTGTCCAGCCAACTCATGCCCAACACAATGGGCGTGTCCGACAATTGAGTGACGTTGAAGCTGATGACTTCTTTGTGATTCCCAAGTCGCATCACCATTGGTGGCGTCTGCTGCACCACTTGCCCCCCTAGCAGCTCCCTGCCATCCACCGTGACAACCTGCAGGGGCAGTGTGGCCGGCAGCAACTGTATAGCATGCTTGTTGACAAAGTCCTGCCCTATAAAGTCCGCATTGCTGCCTGAGTCAAT